GAATCACAAAATGCTTCATTATATAACACGATCTGCCAGAACTCACCGAAAACCTGGTGATTTATTCAGTAGTTTTTTCTTTATTAGTATTGAGAAAATAAGTATTATTCTAGCCCAAAGTGTTTCAAACATAAACTGGATAAATGGAGAAAAATCTTTACCTTCCCTGCGTGTTGTAGCAGTTCCTCGTTTCCGTGACCAGGTGAAGACTCTCTGGATTCTTGGGTTTGAACATGACTGATGTCCTCAAGAAGGTCACTGGGTTAGAAGCTTCTCAGAGTTGGGGCGGGGCAAATCTAACTACAACAAGACTATACAATTCCAGTGGACAATAGAATTGTAAAAAGAACAGCTGATTGTTCAAACAACTTTAAAACAGTTGTCTTCTCTTTGTTGTCTGAAGCCGCCGACTATCCTCTCTGTGAAATTGGGGTGCAAACAGCTAAATATCAGCAGCAGCCTTGTGACTGAAACTGTGTGTTCCGTGTGCAAATACAAAGCCGTCTGAAGTGCATCGGAGCGGAGAAATGACAGGAGGTCACGGCCCGTCTGCTCAGGACATGAGGATGGAAAAAGTGCAAAAGTTGAATGCGCAAAAATAACAATGAGGGAAACATTCCTCTGTTCCTTAAAGAAATTCTTTTTTTTTTTTCTTTGGATACAGATTCGTGAGTCATTTGTCAACTGGGGGCAGTGAGGGGCATTTGGCTTCCACAGCAGCGCGAGGCTCCGGACCCGCCCCCCTGCTTTGGCCGGCCGGCACTCTGTGATTACGCAATCAGCTGGAGGTGCCGTGCGCCCATAACTCGTGTAAAATCACATGGCAATTTTTATTTGTGAATCCATCAGGGCTGGAATCGAATTTTTCTGCTGTCCAGTTTCTGTTAAATCATCACTGACCCTAACATAAACTCCCGGAAAGCAGAAAATCTGATCACAGGAGGCTGAATTTCAGCTTTATCACCTTGGGGAATGATTTTAATATCTGTTTTAAAATACCGTTTTAGCTGCGCGTTCCTATGGATTAAAGAATGTACTGCTATTAAACCATTTTTAAAACTGGAGGTTTGTTTTTCTTCCTTTAAACGAAAAGAGAAAAATTTTACAAAAATAAGTAGGAAGGATGAGCAGACAGTTTTCTAGTTGCACGTTTTACCACATGGTGGCGATAGAGAGCGATCTACCACAATCTACTCCCATCCTCTGCCTCTGTGGATAGATTACTGCAAACTGTTGGAACCCTAAGCTAGGCCTCTTTTGACATTTTTATATGATTTCAGCTGCAATGAATTTAGATTTAGATTCTCGTTGTAGTTTTAATTAAATAGATTAAATTGGATTCTAATTGGACTAGATCAACAGTGACACGTTTACAACCTCTACCTAATGTCAGTGCTGTGACTATTCATGCAAACAGAACCAGACTTCTGCATTGCCCTTATCCTCCTGAGAGTTAAGCGTTTCCAGATTGGTCAGTTCACATAGGCACTCTTTGTATTTAAACGAATCCATCTACGTCCTAGTAGATTTGCATAAGAGTGGAGTCTATCTCAAAGGTGGGGTACCCCCACTGAAGGCAACGTTGACTCTACAGTGAACCTAATATTTTATGTATGGTGACCCACGTAAACATGCTGCTAGCATGCAAAATCCACACAGAAAGGCCTTCAGCTGGCATTTAACCCAGGAACTCTCATGCCAGCGCCACACACAACATGAAACCCTCAGAATTATACAGGAAAGGTTTTTTTAAAATGGCCAACCACTGACCTCCATATTAAGATGCGTTGCACATCAGCATTTTGAAAAAATTTCATCAACAAAAATAGAAACTCTAAAATGTTTTAAGTGACTTTGTTGAATTTCATTGTTGGTCCAGATACCAACTTACATAGCAAGGGTGTCATTTAAAAACTATAAAAACAGATTTAATTGCATGCAAACTTTATAAAATGCCCTCAGTGGGTGGTAGAAGTCATACTACCTACGTCACAGCTCTTCATTACTTTTCCGAGGAGCGTTCAGAAGTTGACACAATGACAAATTGTGCTTTGAAGACAGTCTTTATTACTCTTTTTGAGAATAGTGGTTCTTCTGTTCTTTAAGACATCTAAGAGTAGAGTCGCTTTGACTCTAAAAATAGTTGTTGTGGCTATTTTGGTCAACACCGTCTATAGACTCCTGAAAAGGGGGTTGTGTTTGTGATTGGATGAGCAGTGGGTTGCTAGGAGCTGCAGAGTGAGGGGAAAATGGCATGAGAATGGTTGGTTACACTTGGCCGTTCACACTGTCCTTTACATCTGTGGCATCCAGCAGGTAAATGAGAGCCGGATTGCTTAAATGCTGCTTCTGCTCTGTGCTCCCTGCATCATCTCACAGACCAACTATTATGTTTCCAGCATGTGTGCTGCTCAGAAAAAGCCCCAACAGTGTTACAGAACTTTAGATCAGGCATCTGGACAATGCACCTACGTCACGCCGGCTCCATCACATTCACCAGACCAGTGACGACATTCACCCGCTTTGCCAAGAAGTCGGGGGGGAAAAAAGTTCTGAGAGAGGGACAACAAGAAAAGAAAGACAGCAGAGGGGTGGGGGTTTATGAAAGAAGAGGAGAGAGTTAGTTCTATATAAGTACGAAGGGCTGGCAGGGCTCTTGGATCTAACCAGGGCAGAAAACAGACAAGGCTGTTTACAGCCGCATTAGAGCGAACGAAAGCCTGAACACACCACCAGGTGCAGAACCCACTAAAGGAAGTGAGGATATCACTGATGTAGCATGATGGAAGTTGTTTTAACCAGACTGCGGGACTTCTCCTGCAAGACTTCGACCTTTGATGACAGCAAACCTGTGCCTCAGAGAGCCTGCAGGGACCCTCGGGGCCGGACTGACCACCTCAGAAACGGGTGCACAGCTAGTGGAGAGGGCAGCAGACTGGACATAGAGAGCGCACTGGCTTGGCTGCGAAGGGAGCTGGTAAGGCTCTGATCAAGTCAATTCTTTTCTACTACTATACTGGAAAAGGAGAGTATGCTGACAAGTGTAAATATGAAATATCTATTATGTGTTTGTACAGTTCAACATTAGGGCATCTATGTGTCTATTTATCTTTCCATCTATCTTGTATTGTGTTTAGACTAACTGCTTTTTAATATCTGTTGTGTATTTATGCCAGTGTTGGTGTGAGGACGATGTGTATTCTAATGTAATTCCACTTTAAATAATAAGACAAAAAAATCATGCAGGGCCTCAGGGTTTCGTGTCTTTGTAATGATGACAGATTCAATAATTCATACCTAGTTGCTTAGGGCACAAAAGTTGGTTGTTGTTCAAAACAGCTTTAAAAAACACAGGCACAATTGGGGAAACATCAAATACCTACATATAGACACATCTATTGGATACATTTTTTTACTCCTTCAGTTAATACATTTGTTGTGAATAAAATGTCAACAGAGGTGATACTTTACTTATCAATGTCTACATTGTGAGGGCTTGTAACATTTGCTACAGATAGAAATGGTTGAGTTCAAGATTAGTTTATTATTATCATTATTATTATTATTTTTTAACTGAGCATTATAACTCCAGGATTAACTTTTATAAAATCCTGTATGTGGCTCTCTGACAGTATTTGATGTGATTTATGAGCAGGAAATCATTTTACTGTCTGTTAAACTGAACCAACAGAATGGCCTGTCTGGTCTGCCACCACTTTTGTTTTAAGCTAAAAGTTATTGCCTCTTTGTTCCTAAGATGCAAGTTTGTCCTGCTGCGACAATGTCACCTCATTTTAAACAAACTCCTCCATGAGAAGAGTCTGAGTGTTTGTTCGCCAGCGTTTATGTGTGTGTCTGTTTGCATGTCTGTGAGCAACTGTGTGAGGCTCATTGTTCCAACCTAATAAATCACACGGCACTTGGTACACTCACCCAGATGACTCGTCATGGTAACCGAGTGTCCTGAGCAGGCAGAGAAGAAGAAAGCACGTGTCTGAGGAGGGGCTGGGGAAAAAAACAGCCAGTAAAACCCCAAAACTCCTGGTGTGACAACAGCGCTCAGGGGAACATAAGAGGCTTAGAGCACTTCAGTCCCTACAGAAGGAGTCAATTTTACCCCTGCCATTATGCATTTTGAAACAGTTTTCCCCTTTTTTAACACAGACACCAAAAGTGGATTTGGAATCTAACAAGCTTCACCAAAGGTCCAAATGTACATTTTTCTATGATGTTTTTGCTGTGTGTGAACATGCTCAGCAGCTGGATTCCCTTAACACTTTTTTAGTCCAACTTGTTGAAAAGAGGCAACATCTTCAGCCGGCAGAGCTCAGTCTGACTGGCTGTACGTGCTAGCAAAGGCAGGGAGAAATTAAGACAGAAGGCCAACAGCTAATGTAATTATCATATGAAGTTTCCTTTAATTTGTCATCATTACTTTATAAAAAGCTTCCCCGCAGCGGCCACATGGAGTGAAAAAATTAAGGACCACAAGCTAGAAAAACAACATGTGGCCCCTGGATTTCCTCTTTTCCATTTTTCCTCTCGAGTCTCACCTTAATCAAAATTAAATGTCCGACCTTCACAGCAGCTCTGCCTGTCAGGATTTTTTTTTTTTAGATGGAAAGGATGCTAACAAGCTACGGGTTTTTAATACATTCAGCTGGGTTTTTAATACATTCAGCTGGGATCTTCATTGCTTTTGCCCTCTTTCAGCACTGAAATAAAAAGCTGTGTGATGAGTTCAGGCTCAGTTCACAGAACTTTTAGGTTTGCTCTGTTGAAGTAATTCCAGTCACATATTTTCAATAACTGCATAGGAAAACAGCTAACATTGGCCCTGCTGAAGTTTATCCATTTGAAAAAGTGCAGCAATATGTTTAATGTTCTTCCTCCTGGACTGGATATTGTAAACTGATTCTTCCCGGCTGGCTTATGGATGTCATATTTGTCTTAAAGTGTCTGTTGCGTCAGATACTGGTGACATTAGAAGACCCTGCAGCTGTTTTCTCATCACCCCTCCGTGTTGGTTTTGTGCATTAGAGCCCTCATGGCTAAGGTCGCCCTTTCCTTGCTGGCTTAAAAGCTCTGATTCATTCTTCCCCTCAATGGACAGCAAGGGGCTGCTATGCCTACCCGTGATCTTATTTCTACCCTAATCTGTGTATGTAAAGAGCTGTTTTTAAAACAGACCTATGTTTTAGTGAATTATGATGCTGTTCTTGATTGTAATTCATGATTCTCATCAGCAGATAGACTTTCTCCGTTGTAAATATATTCTCAGACTTTTGTCTAAGCTCTTGGAAAAAAAGTTTTATATTATATTTTTCTTTAACGAGGGAAAATAACTCTATGGGAAACGCTGCAGCCGAAGGAGGTTTTGTTAGCACAGTCCTTGTGAGTTAGTCATTTCATACAGCACCCTCATGAACTTACACACACATTCAGTGTCCAGCCGTGTATTTGAAAAGGATCGGTGTTTGGCATAATGAGGTACAGCTCAGCAGGCGTACATCTCCACAATAAAAGTTCATGTTTCATCTCTCAGTCCTCCAACTGTTGACAAAGGCAATAAAACCAGCATCTGCCAGCCAGAGCGCAGCCCAGCCCGGTGCTGTAATTAACACAGAAAAGAAATGCAGATCCACCCTCAAGTTTTTTTGTTCGAGACATTCCTGAATTCTTTGGACGAGCATTGGTCTCTGAAGTTGGTGGAATTCTAAATAACTTGTTTTACAATGCCAGCAATTAGACAGTTGCTCATAAAGAAAAAAAAGAAAGAAAGGATTTGCATTTGAAAAAGGAGAAAAACTCAACTGAAACGACAAGTGTGCAGGGAAAAATCTCGTTCGGCCTCAGTCATGAAGAAGACTTTTTGGGAAAAGGAAAGAAACTGAGAAGTGCCGTTTCTGATTTTTTTCCTTTTTTATTTATTCATGTTATTATTTGTTGATTTCTTTTCAGCTTTCATGAATAAATCGAAACATGACTGTGTCCTCTGTAGATGGAGATGCGCTCCCAGGACCAAGCCCTGATCCGGCAGCTGATGGAGCTGCACTCTGGCATCCAGGAGCTGAAACAGGAGCTCTCCGAGGACAAGCGGGAGGACGAGCTGGATGAGGAAGAGCTGGAGGGCTGCTACTGGGACTCTGAGAGCGAACAAGGAAGCGGAAGCGTCTACTCCAACTCAGGGGAGATGGCCTGCAATGTTCCCAACCAAAAGACGACTCGGCCTCTTTGCTCAGGAGGTTTTTCGGGGAAGGGGTTCTACAGGAGAAGCTCTGTGCCTTAAAACGTCAAATCACTAAAACAAATTCAACTTTTGAATCCTCACCATATTTTCCTTATGTTTGCCAAGACTGCTCATGATGGCACTACAATGTAAGATGAAAGCATTTAGAGGAGGTCATGTCGTCATACGGGCTGATCAAGTGTTCCTGCCACCGAAGTTCTATCCAGAAACCACATTTTTATGCAGATGGAGCACAACATTATTCACAATGTCCAAATTTATTTGGAAAAATAAGCATTAAAAATTATATTTCCCAACCCCCTTTTTGGCCTATCATACATCATCTAAAAACTACTTTCAAGAAAAAAGCAAAAAATCCCAACAGAAAAAAATCATTAAACACAAACAAACATTCAGAATAATCGACTGACTTGGAGAACTGATGACGGACATTTTTTAAATCAAGCTCTATGTGGCTATGGACGGATATTGATCATAAAGATTATATTATTGAGAATGTCTTGAATAATATATACATTATTATTCTATTAAGTCATATGGGGGTTTGATGAAAGATATTTACAATAATGATCACCTTCTACTGTACAATAAAAAAAAGTGCTATTCGGAAAATACAACACCTGATTCCAACATTTTTTTTTTAAAGCTATCAGAATAATTTGATTATTATAAATGCTTTTGAACACAGTATCTTATTATTCACCACTGCTATTCATTTTGATTACCTCAGACAAAATTAGTTTAATTCACGGGAAATCCTCTTCTTTCATCACCTTCTTGCAGACCTTGTTTGCCCAGTTTTTCATGACATGCTGAGCTAAGCTACAGCTAACAAGACTGAAGACATATCAAAAACTTTTTTTTATCTTAACATAAACTGACAGAGGATTGTATAAATCCTGCATCAAACAACGACTTAAAGGCAGATAAATAACAAATCCATTTGTACTGTACAGTCATGTGATTCTATTGGTAATTAAAACAATGCATCAACAATGTAACGGCTGCTTACCTTTACTGTACTATAACATAAAAAATTGATGTGTTAAATGAGCTGGACAGCATGAAGCAAAGCCTCTTGAGGTGCACTGTTCAGATGAATAACGCCGCTACCGATTTTTACTTGTTAGTTGTTGATAAAGTGAATGATTAGACGTAATGAGGACGTATTTATTAACCGTCTCTGAGCTTGTGAAATAATGTTAAACAGATCAATAAAGATTCAAATACAGTAATTTGTTTTGTCCATTTTAATTAACTGATATTTTTACATCCATAAAGTTGTGTTTCAGTACAGCTTTTATCAGTTAGGCTTTCTGTTTGACATATTTAACTCTTACAGCTACATAACTGATTGCATCGATCTATTGTGAGCAGATGTGGTTGGTCTTTAGTCTTTTCTTTGTCCAGCCACGGAGTCCAGTCAGTCTTCCCTTGCTCATTCTGAAGTCTTCCCCAGGGAAGGGGCATTCTGCTGGGGCTGCTCAATGCTGCTCGTCCCCCTCTACCTCCACACCCCCAAAACTCTCCCTCCTCAGCCTTTGGATCTCTGTGTTGAGCCCCAGCAGGGTCTGAGCCAGCTGGAGGTCCTGAGTGCGCATTTCCAGCTGCATGACAACAGTTAGAGGAATCTCTGGTCCATTCACTCAGATACACACAGAAACACACATGCTGAAACTTTCTTTTAAATCTACTCCATATTTCACATAGTACATTATAGTTAGACTACATGACAAAGACTTTTCTTTATGACAACTTTCAAAGGATGTCAACGTTAGAAGTTGAAAAGGTCCAAAATGGAGGGGCTCACCAGTTCGGACCTCAGCCAGGTTATCGCTCCATCTATCTGCGCCCGCCGCAGCTCCTCGTTAGCTTGGTGACTCCTGCCCATGCTGAGCGGTCTGACGCTGACGCCTGAGTCCACGGGCTGTTCTCTGGACTCCGCTGTCCCTCTGAAGGCATGAATCAGTTTGTTCTTTATGTTCTCCAGAACCATAGTGGACAGTGTGTCCTCACTGTGACTGTCCCGGTCCATTCTGGGTGGGTAAGAGGTGTGCACCACCCAGAGTGGCAGCTCTGTTCTGATTTAAAAAATGTATTTTTAAACCCTCTCCCCTTTTGTTCCTCTCCTATCTGTGTTTAAGTTTTCCCGCCGCCTGTCACAGATCCACCTCGAGCCGGTCGTCCACCTTAAGTGGACACAACTTCACTCCACAGTTCCTGTGCTTCCTCTGAGCAGTCTCAGTCAACCCTTTGCCTTCCTGGTGCTAAACTGGCTTGTTTTGTCATTGTTACTATGGAGAAACTCCCTCCGCCTGCACCTCTCTCCTCCTCCTCCTTTTGGTAACCCTAATAAGAATGGTGGAAGATCTTGGACAAAGACTATTGTTGCCTTGAAAAAGAACTGAAAAGACTCCTCCAACCCCTGCCACCACACCCTCCCCCCCTTTTTTCACCATTTCTTCTCCCCAGCAAATCTTGTCCCCACACAACTCGAGTGTGAGAAACGGGTGGTGATACAGCTCCGTGTCGGACAAAAAGCCCATGTGTAAACCTGTGTGTGTGTCCACATGTACAGCACAGAGAAACTCACTCAAACCCCCAGCGGACTCTTTCAGTGCTTCTCCCTAAATAAGATCTGCTTGTCAGCTTAGGGGAAGGACAGGTTGGGCAGGGAGCAGACACAGCCTCAGTGTTAGCTGATTCAGAGGCACAAAGGCCATCCTCCGGTGAAATATAACCAGGCCCTTTGTGCCCAAGTAAAGTCCATGCCCCTCTGGGGTTTGTGGGATGGTTTTTGGCAACTGTGAACAGGTTTTTTTTCTTCCCCCTGACTTCTGTATAGAGATGAAACAGCAGCCTTGTGTATTTTCAGCTTAACTTATGAGTCTGGCAGTGAGAAGGCACATTCGGAGTCCTCATCACAGTCAATGCTCAGCTTTGGTTGTTCCAGTGTGATGTACCCGGAAACAAAGAGTCGCGGTGTGTGGGAAACAGATCCTTTGGACGGTGTGTTCCCAGCCAAGCTCTTCTCCACACGTTTGCCACAATAGACGGCTCGGATGTGCAAGTCAGTCTCACAGTGATGTGCAAAGACGGATGGATGAACATGTTATAGAGTGAGAGGGAGCAGTTTCACTTGTCAGAGCTCATAAGAAGTGAGCTATGACTCTATTTGGACAGGGGTTTATGGAGCGTGAGAAGGGGTTAGAGGGATTGGGCTGTCAAGGCCTGAAGGTCAAGGCAGCAGGTGACACGTGACAACAATAAGAAAAAGTAACAGGCCATCCGGGACTCAGACTGGGAGTCAGGTGGTGAGGGACAGAGCAGCTTTCCTCATGAGAGAGAACATTTCCATCTCCTGGGAATTCTGTTTTTAATATTGCATTATGTTCCCATTTAGGGAGGATGATCACGAGGAAGACTGTTTGGAGCCAGTGTGAAGGAAGCCTCGATTGTGGTTATTTTCTGTCAACAAAAGGCTTGTTTGTATGTTGGTATTTTTTAAACCGGTCACAGTTTTTTGTTTCTGGGTCATGTTTTTTACTTAACTCAGGGCTATAATGACCTTCATGTTAAAGTTTAAACACTACAAAGGTTTTTTTAGGTTAAGTATGTCATTAGTAGATTCTGGACTCTGTACAGTACTCTCTTGCCAATGGAAAAACATAAAATTTACTTTTGCTTTGCTTTGAAATTTAATTTGCAGTGATTTCATAGGGATTTGGTGTGGTAAAAGTTGTGTGTTAACAGGTTGATAATTGAAACTCTGCATCAGTTATGTTTTCTATATGCCATATTTTTTTAGCAAACTTTGTTGCCCTCTAGTGGTACATTAATAAGTTCAGTTACAATAATGCTCTTCAGGATGCAATTCAAAGTTTCAAAAAGCTTTATTTATCCCGAGGAAAATTGCTGTGCAACACTTGCATACAGGTTGAAAATCGATAAATAAATGCAACTAAAGTAGTGGACAATTGTTAAAGTGACCAGTGCAGAATTTTAGCAGCATAAGTAATAACAGATAAATTAAAAATGATAAGTGGTAAATTGACCAAGTGAAGTCTTCAAGACACAGTATGTATACTGTTCCTGTCCCAGCCAGAGGTAGTTAAGTTAAACAGTCTGATGGCCACAGGAAGAAAGGACTTCCTCTGGCGTTCTGCGGAACATCTGGGGGGACTGAGTCTGTTGCTGAAGGTAAGGACCTCCTGAAGAAGCATTTATTATGTTTGGAACAACGTATGTAATGTATTAACAGGTATGCAGATGTAGTCAGCTAAGTCCAGAAAGAAAAAATAAGGAAATGCAAGAAACACAAAAGTTGGAATGGTGTGAATGAAGTCAGAAGAAGTAAGTAGGACAGCGTTTGTGTTGTTGTTCAAGAAGATAAAGGCTCTTGTCTTAATAAACTAGATTCTGATACTGAACTTAAACTAGCAGCGGGGAGTCACCTTCACTTTCATGCTGGAGGGAAGAGAGATCAGATTATGAGTTTTCACATCTGTAGTTGCTTTATTCCTGTCCGTGTGATGTGAGAGAACGAGCGTGTTGCAGAAACCAGAGGCAAGTTTGCCGGGCGTCAGCTGAGCTGCTCCAGTGTCACATGATCAAACTGCTTCTGCTGGCCTGAGACTACCCAAACATCAAGTTCCTTCATATTCTACTTAACAAGTAGAATATGAAGTCCAAATCTCATTGTACGCATGTATAATGACAATAAAGGCTTCTAAAGAAGAAGAACAATGTGTTTCCATATATGTGTATAGATTCACTTAAAAAAAGAAAATAAAGTTATCTCACTCTTAAAGAGTGATTTCTGACTGCACTATAAGTACTGCGAGCAATGAAAAAGTTTCTGTTTCTGTATTTTACAGACAGTAAAGTTTGATTGTTGCAAGCTGGATGTATTTTTAATACTGCAAATCTTTACTCAGAGTTGTTTTGCATGTGTGATATTTCTGCATTGGTGAACTATCCCATCAGAATGACCTAAGAAAATTAAGATGAATTACCAATAATCCATTTATGGATCTAGCTTACACATGAAAGCTGTAACCTCTGGTACGTTCATGTTTTGGTAGTTTGATGTCTCAGTTGGATTTAGGATGGGAAGTTTTCAGGCTATTTCGTATGCACTTGTATTGGTTCATTTTGGAACCAAAATCATTCCGTAAAAGATGTGAGGACAGCATCCAGGGGGCTCTCAGGTGCGTGGCTCGGCATCCCTGAATGGTTCTCCTCCTCATCAGCACCACTCTGCTCCCAGCTCTCTGCTGAAGTTTCAAACCGTCCGCTCGGAGCGGGGAAAGGACGCCATCTTGTTTGTTTTAGTGGAATCGGAGAGGGGAGGGCTGGGAGGATAACCAGTACCGGCAGCATCCCCTGCACGGTCCACAAAACACGGGGAAAGCATACGACGACTTACCGGTAAGCCATTGTCTCTTATATGACAAAAAAAATGGATTAAAACGTTTGTTGCTGCATTTTCGGTGAGGATAAAAATGCGTCAGACCGGCGGCGCTCTGGATGTTCTCCTCCGCATCAACACCTGTTGGGAAGCGGGGAGCATCACCGGTCACTGCGGTGAAAATGTAACGGTCACGTCATTTAAACCGGACCCAACGTGAGCCGTTTTCCGTGGGAAATCCCGTTTGTTTCCACCCGACGTTGCCGAGTTTGTGCGGTAATAGCAGCCTAATGTGAGACGTAGCCGTCACGTCGCATGTCTGCAGGTGTGTCCTGAACAGATGTCAACCGCGTCCTGGTGGCGTTTTTCATCAGGGAATTCACACCGCGTAGCCTACCCCCCCTCCCCAGTTCCACGTAGACATTTAGTTTTACGTCTCACCGACTGTCATTTCAGAGAAGACTGGCTCTTGGGCGGTGGAAAACAGATTCGTATGCTCCACCGGAACAAGAGGGGCAACCTGGAAATCAACCTGACGTAGAATTAGCATTCTCCTCCTGCACGTGCCCTAATCATGGATCCAATTCATTAGGAGAGAAAAACCCTGTGCAAACCCTTCTGTCCAAGGACAGTGCATGGCTTCACTTAGCTCCTCAGGTCCACTCATGCTGTATTGCATGGAAAGAAATTGCTAGAAAGTCTAGATAGTTGAGGGGTTTTTTTTTATCAACGGGGAGAAAACTAAAGCATTCAAATGTAGGTTTATCCTCAATCCATGGGGAAATGAAGACCATAAAACTGGGCCAGCCGGTAGAATAAGCAAGAAATAATAAAAGAAAAATCAATTAAGATGAAACACAGCAATCAAAGATTTAAAGTTGACAATTAATCAAATGATCAAAATGTTTTAGAGCAACATTTTGAGTACAACATAGGAGAAACATTTGGGCTTAATGTGAGCTCACATTTGCTGAGTACTGTGAGGGTAGATGAGTTGAGTCATTAAGGGGAAACACAAGGACATTTAGGGGTAATGACAGGGAACAAGAATACAACAGAAGGACAGAGAGTAAAAGAATGCAAATCACAAAATAACACCCGATAAAAACTAAGAAAACTAAAAGACAGAAAACCATTACACAAAATGCCCCTGAAGCATTTTTATTTAAGGCTAATTTCTTCTAAAAATAATTTAAATTACCTCATTTAACCGATTGTTTTCCCTGGTTAGTGCTTTGGTCTGATCAGGAGCCATGTTGCTGTTTCAAAAGTTAGTTGTATTATCTTCAGACACAGCAGAGAGGAGAGCTAACATGATCTGTTGGTTCCAGTCTGATTCAGGCCATTTCTGTTCCAGGCTTAATGGGTTTGAACAGCGCTCTACATGGTTGTTGCTCACAGGGAATGCCTTTTTCCTTCTTATGCATTTACTAGTGCGTTTTGTGCTGTTTTCTCTCTTCAGGCGGGACGCCTCCCCCTTCCCCTTTCCCTTGTGCTGAGAAGGCGCTGAGACAATGTTTTATGCCCACTTTGTCCTCAGCAAACGTGGGCCGCTGGCCAAAATCTGGCTGGCGGCCCACTGGGACAAGAAGCTGACCAAGGCTCACGTCTTTGAATGCAACCTGGAGAGCAGCGTGGAGAGCATCATCTCACCCAAAGTAATTCACCGTCCTGTTTACATTTACCCAGCAGCTGGGAAATATGACTATTGTCCTCCGAAGAAGTGTTGTTAATTTGAAATGGCCTTTTCTTTGGGCAGCAATGAATATGGAAAAGTTGTTTGACCAACAGCATGACTCTGTCCCAGTATTTCCACTTATAGGTTGTGGATGCATTTAGTTGTCTTCTGTTGTTTGAACAGGTAAAAATGGCTTTACGGACATCAGGGCATCTGCTGCTGGGGGTGGTGAGGATCTACCACAGGAAGGCCAAATACCTGCTGGCAGATTGTAACGAGGCTTTTATCAAGATTAAGATGGCATTTCGACCAGGTCGGAAACTGCGTTTAAGATTTTATTAACCTTGCCTTTGTTTTGTTTTTTAAATCAATTTTCTCAGTTTTTATCCAACTCTTCAGAGACAAACGGAGGCATCAATGGTCAAACTCTTTTCCCCCCATGTTGTGTTGCCTCAGGTGTGGTTGATCTTCCGGAGGAGAACAGAGAAGCAGCCTACAATGCCATCACTTTACCTGAGGAGTTCCATGATTTTGATCAGCCGCTGCCAGATTTGGAGTGAGTCTGCGTAACAGATTACAATCAGTGCACAGACCAGAGAGACACAAAGAAGCATATCTCTTAGAGAGCAATCTGTTTATAAAAGACAAAAAAAAGGGAAAAAAGGCACTACAGTGCTGTAGTAAAGAGTTGAACCTGCTGTGTGTTCTGCACAGTGACATTGATGTGGCTCAGCAGTTCAACCTGAATCAGAGCAGAGTGGAGGAAATCACCATGAGAGAGGAGGTGGGCAACCTCAACCTGCTGCAGGACAATGATTTTGGTGGGTGCCTAACCTCGTTTGACATTTTGTTTCTGTCCTTTTACATTATTTAGAAAGTGAGCTGAAGTGAGGGGCTGTCAGTTCTAAGAAAGAGGAAGGTTGAACCCCAGTAATGCCGTTTAGCTGCCCGTGTTAGGAGCTGTAGGTCATGACGACGCTCTGCTCTGTGCCGCAGCGGACTTTGGGATGGACGACAGAGAGATGATGCGAGAGGAGAGTGCCTTTGAGGTGGACATCATGGGGGCATCAGCTTCCAACCTGCTGCTGGAGGCCGAGGGCGGAACTAACCCAATGGCCGACAAGTCCAACCACCTGGAGTACGACGACCAGTACAAAGACGACTTTGGAGACAACCCCATGGAGAGCAACGAGGGAGGGATGCTGGGTAAAATCCGACCCATAGGACCTCCGAGTTTTCGTAAAGCTGGAGGCCAGGCTGCTTTTCCTGAGATCAGAAGTTCTAACAACCTCATATTCATTTCCAGTGGACAAGCTGCTGAGTAACGAGGATGGAGGCGGGATCTTTGATGACCCCCCCGCCATCACAGAGAGCGTGATGATGCCGCAGGACCACGGCGACGATGAGGACGACTTTGACGCCCTATCAGGTCGGTTCCTCGCTCTCTGCATGTCGCACCCCGCTGGAGGAGGCCGTCGCAGGAGCTGCTGCCTCCATGTGACACAACAAGCGGCTTCAGTCTGATGTGTTTGCTGTCAGCGGGGGCCGCCGACAGTCCGGACTCAGGCCCCACAGAGCCGCTACCAGCCATGACCGACCAGACCGAACAGGCCGCCTTGGTTCACAACGAGGAGGAAACGTTTGCCCTGGAGCCCATCGACATCACAGGTGATACAGATGTTCGCCAACATCAGTCCTCTGCAGTGTGTGCTGTGTGTTTTTACAGCCTTTCCCGCTCGCGATCTAAAATATGAAAAAAGTCTCGTCGCCTCTGTCTGTGCCGTGCAGTGAAAGAGACCAAAGCGAAGCGCAAGAGGAAGCTGATCGTGGACAGCGTGAAGGAGCTGGACAGCAAAACCATCCGCGCACAGCTGTCCGACTACTCCGACATCGTCACCACGCTGGACCTGGCTCCGCCCACCAAGAAGCTGATGATGTGGAAGGAGACCGGAGGGGTTGAGAAGCTCTTCTCCCTCCCGGCTCAGCCTCTCTGGAACGCCAGGCTGCTAAAGGTGAAGTAGCTTTGGATGCACGTTTCCTGGGAGACACGCGGGCACAGTGGTGCACGACCCGCCAGCCGCTTCACACACCTCGTTCTCTGCAGATGTTTACAAGATGCCTGACCCCGCTGGTGCCCGATGAGCTGAGGAAGAGGAGGAAAGGCGGAGAGGCCGACAGCCTGGACGAGTTCCTAAAGGATCTGGAGAACTCAGATGTCCCCAGAGAGGAGACCGCGGCCCTCCAGCAGAGAGACATCTTGGGTAGGGTTTTTTTTTTCACGTAGTTTTCCTGTATTACCTGGAATTTATCCTTCAAATTCAAATATAATCATGTGTTTATAGGTAGCAAACCTGCACTATTTATGTAACAGCTTCAGATACTTTCCAGCAGAGATGAGTTAGGATTACAGTTTTACAGGATTTTTACAGGGACAGGAAAATATTCTCCCTGGTGTTGAATTTACAAATGACTCTGAGTGTCTATGGGTTTCCAGACCAGACAATCATGGAGGAGTCCGGGGCGCTCCAGACTTCAGCGGTGGAGGGAAGCCGAACCACGCTGGATGAGTCGGTCATGCCGCCTCCATCCACCCAGAGAGGCCTGAAACGCAAGTCTCCCGACACAGAGCCGGCCCTGCCCGTGAGTAAAGCCGCTGGGCTCCTTTTATCACCACCTCCAGCCTGGAGCCAGCTTTCCACTCCCTAATGAGTGTCTAGCTTATAAAATAGGCTGCATGAGTGGGAAACAAATGTTGCTAACTGAAATCAAACCTGTGTGGTGATCATCCATTCAAAGAAAGCTGAGATAGTCCACACAGGAATAACTTTCATCTCTGGGAGTATCTGGGACATTTAATCAGATCTGGGAAGATGCTGCTCAGTCATGTGAGCTCATTGTGGGACAGTTTGGAAATAGCCGGTGTGCCACATCGTTGAAATCTTTACGAGGTCAAATTCTGTTTGTGATGTTTTGTTCATTCATATAATAGTGAGTGATTTTTTTTTTAAACATGGAAGACCAAAACAGGCAAGCCTGTAGTCTTTTTTGGAAGTAAGAACCCGGCTTCTGTGACTGGATGCTCTCCAGATGGGAGCCTTTGATGAACAGCCGCAGCCAGCCACCAAAGCGACCCCCGGGCCCCAGCAGCTCGAGGCCTCCACCGTGGATTTGCCCCCTGAGGAGACCACCACCACCAACATCAGCCAGCTGATAGAGCTGGACCTGCTGGCCGACAGGGACAAGAAGAAGAACGACGACGACTCTGACGAAGAGGTGAAACAGAGATCCGCAAATTAATGATGGAACCACACAGTGTATCTGAGATTTGATGGTGCACAGAGCCTATGAGCGCTCTTAACTGGGATTTGTGTGTGTGTGTGTCAGGAGGAGGAAGCACAGGGAGGAGACCAGGACCAGGAGGAGAGGAGGTGGAACAAGAGAACCCAGCAGATGCTTCATGGCCTACAGGTGATATGTGATGAAGGCTCACTGGGTCATAATTAATGGAAATGTCAAGAGAAATACACAAAAACATGGCATTATTTTTGCGGGAACTGGGATGGGATCTGCATAAAGCGTCTTTATTTTGGAAGGTTTTCCAACAGTTTCATAATTGCAGCAATTTAAGAGCTACGACTGTGAATTAAAAAGTCATCAACTAAATGAATACTCCTGTGAAGCTGACATCCTCTATTCCTGATTTTTATGCAGCTCTTCCTGATTGTTTTGAACTTACAGTATATTTTTTTTAATTCAAGTATAGAATCTGCCTCTAAAGTTCAATGTGCTAACAGATGTTTTCCAGGGCAGGCGTGTGAAATGCTATAATTTCCCCCCTTTGGTGTCTGTTTCTCACCGCACCGCAGAGGGTGATGACCAAAACAGGCTCCCCGTCGGTCAGCCTGCTGGATCTGTGCAGGAACAACAACAGGAAGCAGGCAGCGGCCAAGTTCTACAGCTTCCTGGTGCTGAAGAAGCAGCAGGCGGTGGAGCTGGTCCAGGAGGAGCCGTACAGCGACATCATAGCTACACCCGGCCCTCGCTTCCACGTCATCTGAAGAACCCTCCACCCTCCGGTCCGAGAACAACCCTGCTCTATGTAGTTGTTACATTGGATCCAAAGCACTGTGTGCTTGTTTTTACAAATTTCGTCGGTTATTATTTCTCTAATTATCGGGTTGTGGCTTGTTTACATTGCCGTAAATATAATTAAGAGGTTTGATCAGCATCTGACAAAACACTTACTCTGTCATTGCATGGTAGTGGTAAACTGTTTGGTATTATGCCTTTTTGTACACAGACTGCTAACAATGAAAAACCCATGTGATTATTAAAGACTAACCGCTTAGAAAACATAACTCCAGTCTGTGGATAATGGGAACACAAGTCGTACCTGCATGCAATATTTATAGACTGTATCCAGAACTCATATTTTTATTGCCGTGCTGATGCTTTCTTCTAAAAGATTTCCTTTCAGTTAATTCAGTGTCTTTTTTTTGTAAACGCGTAATCATTTCGATAAAGCAGACAGGTGACAGGTGAGTACGAATTCTGTGTTCATCTATTGATGTAATGCACTGTACCGTGTTTAAATAATTTTATCTGAAAGCAGATTTGATTATATAAAGAATGACTTGAGAACAATATGATGTGATTACTGAGTCGGCATGTTTCCCTCGTTGTTTACCACGAACCCGGAGGCTGAGTTTAGCCATCGTAGATCACAGGCAGCCACCCAGACAAGCCGGCGCATTGTGTTTGAATCCCACTTCGACAACCGCAGCTGTCTGGGAGCCACAAACCTGTTTTAAAGCAGAAAGGTAAAAAAAACAGATAGTAACATCAGGTATTCATGTAACCAACACATTTATTCTCGATGGTAACTTTGGAAAAATCGTCCAGAAGTCGATTTGGGATTTAATTATCTGTAAACATCGGATCTGACATACATGGATAACACACAGGGCTGAGGTCTGGGGTCAAAGGGAGACTGCAGGAGCCGTTGTGTTGTCTCCTTCTACTGTCTTCCGTTTCTTGTGCCGGCTTCTTTTCTTCTTCTCCCCCGGCTCTGTCTTCTTCAGCGGGGGTGTGGGCACTCCTTTTTTCTTCTTCTTGAGGCAACTCAGGGGGTTAGGGTTGCTCTGTTTCCTCTTCCTCTTTTTCCCCCGCCTCTCTCCATCTTTGAGGGGGATGCCCTGCTCTTCTTTCAGGCTGCGGATGCTCTGCTGCTGGGCTGGACTCACCAGCTCTCCCAACTGGACAGCCTGGACGTGGTCAAGGGACTCCTGGCTGGGCTTGTCAAGCACAATGGTGTTTAGGATGATGTAAAGCAGAGGGACGCCTGGGATCTTCTTCAGGCCTGCGGTCACCGCACGATCCTGCACAGAAATGCATAACATCCCCCAGTGAGCCATGCACAGCCAAAAACATTGACTTGTTGTCAACTTAAAGAGCAATAAAAAACTCTAAAGAGGCCGAGAAAGAAAATGTTGGATGTTAGGTAAACAGCAAAGATAGTGTATTACCCATACCAACATGTTCTATAAATCCCTTGTTTAAAGTTGCAATAGCTTTGAGAAAGATGTTTCTAATGGTCTATTCTCACTTATAAATGTTGTCTGCAAATGCCTAAAACATCTACTTAATTTCAATAGCTAAAGATTATACCTGCGTGGCAATAAAGTAGTGGTGTGGGTTTGTTTCCCCCAGCATGGACAGCAGGCACTCCGAGGCTGGGACAGGGCTCTTCAAATGTGGACATTTCCTGACCTGGAATCTCTGTAAGATGAGTTTGGCTCCATACAGCTGTTTTCCGAGAGTCTCGAGTTCTTTCAGGGCGCAGCTGAGGACAGACACAGACGCATTAGGCTAAATAAAGGAGTGACTTTATTTTTAAGGGAGGTTAAAGGTTATAGGACTCACTTCGTGGTGCACAGCTGAATCTCCCCCATCAAATATTTTGGCATCTGCTCCTTTATCTGAATTTTGTTCTTCAAAGCGGCCTGGCAAAAAGTCCCATCCATAAGGATTTGAAAAGGTTGCCTGAAGTTGAAGTTGAATTTGTAGAAACTAATCGTCTTCTTGGCTTGTTTTTGTCGTTTGATCTTCATTTTAGTTCGTTGGTAAAGTCACGACAGAAAGCGGTTATTTCCTAAGAGCCGAAATTAAAAATGTTCGTTAGTTAAAAGGTGGAAATATTTCCTGTTATTTACCCTGTGGCGAGCAATCATCACAACCTAATATAGCATGGTTGTTTGCTGTGTACTACACGTTTTCGGTGCGTTCTTTAAATTACTCCGGATAGAAACTACAAGGAAAAATGTTTCAAATGTTCCGCTTGTTGAAATAATCGTTGCGTTTGGTTGACAAAAGAATAAAACAGAAAAGAAAAGAGAAAAATGTGTTGGTATGTGTAAGCAAAACATTTATAGACATTTTAAAGTTGCATGGTTTCTGCTCGTCTAAAAAACAACTAAACATAACTTTATTTTAATACAATACATTTTAATTGCAGAATTACCTTTTGAAATAACTATACTGATCTGGCCTATTCTGTCCACACTTAGAACAAACTAGCTAAACATTTAAAATTCATAAAGACTTTCTAAGGTTTCACCAAGGCTTAAGTAACAGACACCTAAAGCTCGTATATCAAATATCTCTCGTCAATCTGTTAATATCAAACCTGCCCTGCCTTCCTCTGACGTTTTCATGATGAACAAGTGGGGAAAACACTGCTTCTTTGGTTCTGATGTGACTGAGACGTAATTTATGCCAGCTGAAACAAATAAACGTCATATAGGTGTCATGACTTTGTATTATTACTATGATTATCACTATTACTATTAATACTATCATTCATTTGAATATACAAGGATTCTTCAATGTTTTGGATGCCCAATAAAAAACGTTTCTCCTCCATCCTTAAGGGGATGCTGAATGAAAGCAACTTCTAATTTTTCCAACCAAGTAAAATTGTTGCATCTTTCTTTTGTGATCAGTTTTACTTGTCATTAGAGTTTATCTACCTTCCTTTTTTAAAACGTTTTTATAAAATCAACAACACAAAAATAAAAGGAGCAGTGTGAGGAAAAATCGATGATAGAAAATACAAGATATGTCATTAAAAATATATTGTTTGTTTGTTTCCAAAAGTATGTTGATATAATAACTTTTACCACAACTAAAGCATACAAAATAACAATATCTATTTACATTTGCTCCGCCCACCACCTCCGGTTTTAACCGGAAGCGGAAGTGCTCGGGCAGATAGTAACGTCTGCTCGCTGGGTGGGCTGTGACAGTTATTCCGGACTCTCAGCTAACGTAAACTCGAGTCAGGCCCGTGTGGGTTTGGGTTGGCCCCGGCGCGTTGCAGATTCTTCACCAGTCCAGTACGCATCATGGCGGCCGCGGATCCACGCTTTTCTAGTGACGGCGGGCCGGCCAGCCGCGGAGGATTCCCCGCCAGCAGCGACCGCGACGGGCCGGGCGGCAGCAGCAGCGGCGGCAGCGGGGAGAGCGAACGGGAGCGGGACCGGGCCACCTTCGAGTGCAACATTTGTTTGGACACTGCCAGGGACGCTGTCATCAGTATGTGCGGCCACCTGTTCTGGTACGACCCGGAGCGGGGTGGAGGGGTGGAGGGAGGGAGGTGGTGGCTGGGTGGTGTCTGCCCCGCGGACGCGGAGCTTAGTTCCGCCGTCCGCGCGGCCTCCTTGGGCGACACTCCGAGTTACCGTTGACCGCCGTGTCACGCCCCACGACTGCCCCGTTGGTCTGCGGGAGACCACGGCGGCACAGACGCCTCGCCGTTTATTACACCGAACGACGCCGGTGGTCTGTTGTCCGCCCCGAATCACAGCCATCAATATTAACGTGCTTGTTTTTGGTTACTGATGGCGTTATTTACACCGTGCACATGTAATCCGCTCCGAAATGGAGGAGCTCCGGCCGATCATATGATCCTCCTCCTCCCTCACCCTCGGTAACTCATTAACTTGTGTTGAAACCTTTCTTATCGATCATTTACAGCTCTCAGAATAGTTTCTGCTCGGCTGTTCGAGGCAGCCCTGTCCAAAACTATCAAGATGAACAAATCATTCAGCCATTTTTAAGAAAAAGTAGTGAATTTTTGCTACAAGCTCCTCTCAGTCCTGTGTGACTGTAAAAACAGATATTTTAGGTTTAAAGCTGCTGTTTAGACCACACACCTCTACCAGTGGAGAAAACGACTAATCAGTTTGGGTAGATCCTGTGATTTAGGTGCTAAATCCAGTTTATTTTGAAACGGTCCTGCTGAGTTTTTTGTTGACATGGAAGCAGCTGTTGGGCAGTAGCTGTGATTCTGGTACTTTCTCCTGTTCGCTGTAATCGAGGCTTACGCAAAGATAAACCTTCAAACCGGGTGTTGATCATGTACACATGCTCAGTGACGTGTGTGTGTGTGTGTGTGTGTGTGTGTGTGTCATTCATGAGCAGAGTGTGTTCACGGTTGGTTGTTGCTAATGTGAGATTAGGGCCAAGGAAGGGGGGGTTGGATTGGGGTCAGCCGTAAAGGATTTATGATCGGAGGTAAAAGTCATGTTAGTCAGGTCTGAAGTGAAGGCCTGAGCAGACCTGAACGAAGGTGTGATGGCTAACACCATCCAATTTGGCCCGGTCGGCTGGGTCAGAAGGCCCCGTCAAAAAGTGATGCCTTCCACAGTAGACTCACTTTGAAAATATTCAAAGTATTCACAGCAGTTTGTTTGCCTGGTTAAAATTCCTGATAGGAATACTACTCAGTGCTTTGGTTGTTAAACATTGTCCCTAAAAACTGTTCAAACACGCTGGCCCAAATGGGGGGAGAGTTTCAACTCTGGTCCCCCTTTTTTAAAGTTTTTTTTAAAAGACATAAGCAGAAACAATTAATAAGTTATTGAACATAAAAAAACACATTTTCAGTCTCTTTTCTGTCACCTCAGGCTCACATTTGTTTTTTTGTTTTTTTTCCCCACACTCTTGTATAGGATATAAGTATTTGTCAGCGTTTTGAAGAGTCTGCATAATGAGGCCTATTATCCCATTATTGGTGCCACATAGAAATCGGAGGATAGTTGGCGTTTGGGGAATTGCTCGGGGAGGCTGTAGGGCAGATGTGCCGAGGCGCCAGTGTCAGGCGCTGATGTAATCCCGTCGCTGTGTTGCCGCGGCGTCCCTTACCCTCTGAAGTCGAACGCAATGTGATGAAACAGTTATTCAGCAGGACAGGTGTTGACGTGGGTTCACCTGCTGCAACTTCCTGTTCAGGTTGCAGTCGTGGCATGGCAGCGCTTCCCACCTGGGTCCTCCAAGCACACGGCTCAGGCCTCTTTTCTGACCCAGAATACCTCAGAGGTCCTAAAAAAAGCCCTCTGCAGAGCTGACCTGTTTATTAAAGTCAGGTGTGTTGATCGTCACAACCACGCAGTCGCCTTTAGACGACTCAAATACAATCAGTTGCTTTGAGCTTATCTGGTATTTTCTCCTTCGACTCGCTCCCCGGCTGGCAAAATGGGAAGATTTGCGCTCTGTCTCCGATGCCGTTTTTTCTTTTAGCATCAGAGAGCAGCAGCCGGGTTCCTTCTGGTCGATTGGAGTGTGTTGAAATGCGAAGGGTGGAAGAAAACCAAGCAGATTGTTCAGGAGCAGCTAAGGAGGCAGGCCTACCGGCACCCTGCACACAGTCCAGAGGGATAATTAGTGTGATGATGACATTAATGTCTCCGTAATACTCTGAGGTTAATGAGCATATAACCCCCCCCCACCTACCCCCGCCAGGCAGCGAGCACAGGGGCCACTCCAGGGGGGATGAGGCTGCTGGGAAACTGACTTTCTCTCCCGGGACTTAGCACAAGCTCATTAAATTGGAATTAAAACAGAGAGAAAAGTTGTCTTTAAAAGAGGAAAAAAAGGATATAAATAAATCTGAACCTCTGCATGTTCCAGGAATCGTCTGAAAAGAAATCCCGGCTTTAAGTGTCTACTGACTTAAACCGTGCAACCCGGTCTTAATCGATTAAATGGGACATCAGATGGATGATTTCCAAGTCTGGAAGCCAAGCGGCCTTTTTCCCGCCCAGTCTTTCTCCCTTAAAGCATCTGACAGAAGATTCACTAAGAGATTTCGTAAGAAGGGAGTTGGTTTAAATATAAAGTTTTTAAATCATGTTTAATGCAAGTGTAATGCTTATAGACTGAATACATTTTGGGGTTTTTATGTCTTTCAGTTAGAGAAAAAGTCTAAAAACTGGCCTCATTTAGTGGTAAAAATAACTATATTTCTTATCTTTGAGGGAAAAATTCCGCACATCTGCAGTTTGAGGCCGTTTCTCGGTCTGGAGGCGCCAGGTCCTCGTGGAGGATTTCTCATGTTCTGTGGAGTATCTCAGGAGTTTGGTAACTGGCTCAGCTGAGGCCAGGTGGATTAGAGAAAACTGGCCTGGCCTGCTCTTCTGCTGGCTGCCCGTTGCGTCAGACGCCAGGACTCTGTCATGTATGGAAATGCGGAGGCGCTCGGAGGCAAAAACCAGCCTCAGACATTTGTTTGCAGCGCGGGGGAATCTGACGCCGCTCGGCTTTAAGGTTGATCTCAGGAAAACAAGTTGTTTTCCATGCTGAAGTTGCTTCTATGAGCCATGCGCCCGAAAAAACTAGACGCCCTCTGTTTTTTCTTTTTTTTTAAAGAAATTCAGACTGGACTAGTTTAACGAAAACATCCCTCTTTTTTTCTTGTATATCCTGTTTTGATCCATTACCTGCAGCATTTTAGGGCTCTGAGGAGAAAACCGCCCCTTTTGTTCTACTTTGATGGTGCCTCTGGACTCATTTAGGCTTTGGGCTTTTTTTTTGCCGTGATGACGTAAATGTTTTTTTACTGATGGTGAGAGCCTCATCATCCCTTTGTAATGGTGAAATGTGATCATCTATTGCGCCCCCCGGAGCCCCATATCTCACTAAAGTGTTGTTTTCTCTGCGCTCATCCATGAAACGTCACCTCGGTTTGCGGTTTGTGTGGAAACACACAAACTCGGAGATCCAGATCTTATTTTCTGTCATCATGGGCCTTGCTTCCTTATCAGGCCGACGTCGGAAAAAAAAAATCAAGATAACTGCATTTCTTACCTTGAGGTAACGGCATATTATCGGGTTAAGTCATCTCAAGGCGCCAGCTCTCTTTTAATCTGCGTCTCGCTCTGAGTGAGACCTGGACGCTGGCGTTTGTTGCGTTTAGCTGAAGAGAATAGAAGAGTTAGGGTGAATAAAGCAGGCTTTGGTGTCAGGGATTAAGAAAACATTTTCATTGATGCTTTTAAGGTCTGTAGACCACCGTAAGTGCTGATGGAGCTTCTCACCAGGCCAACGTCAGCCTCAGGAGACGGTGGAGCGGCCTCGGCTGTGATTGGACAGCATGCTAGGGGGCTTCCTGTAGCAGCCCGGGGTTCCATCTGGTTGGTGGTGGCGTTTATCACAGATCTCCTCGTACCTCTGAAACCAGCCTTGGTCTCTAAGAACCACCGATGGCGGCAGATGGAGTCGGTGGACACCAGCCACGGGAATGGGGGGGGGGGCGAGCAGCGTCTGATCACACATTTTCTGAAACAGCATCAGTGAAACTGAGGCAAACGGTCTCTAACGTCTGATCTTCTCTGTCTCCACAGCTGGCCCTGCCTGCATCAGGTGAGCTCCTCCTCTGTCCTGTGGCGTACAGGCACTGGACACACACGCACACACACACAGGGTGTCTGTGGCTGAAGCTTGCTCTAACTTTTAGCTTTCAAAATATTGGTCAAAGAAATTTGAAAGGGCTTGAGAGATTTTTGTCTTTAGTTCTTGGTAATAAACCCTAGAACCCTTTCAAAAAGCTCTGAGACGTCAATTGGATCTTTTACTCATGAGTTTGAAACTTCCTAATACTAATGGGGGGGGGGCTGCACCTGACTTAGAGCCGCTTAAAGACGGTAATGTTCTTACAGCCTCTGTTCACTGCTGCTTTACTACTCACCTCTTAACCCAGAAAGAGCCGAGGCAGCGGGTGGGTGTGGGGCGCTGCCCGTGGTCCGGCTGGGAGGGGGTGGGGTGGGGGGGGGGGGGCTCCACCTACAGCTACAACGACAGCTGAAAAGGGTTTAGGACCCCAGAAGTAGCTTCCAAACAGCTTTGCTGTCACTTATCTCTGATTTTGGTGATTCCAGTCATTTTTGTATGGCGCAAAGACGGTTTTAACCCCCAGCGCCCCCCCCCCTCTGCCCTCAGTGGTTGGAGACGCGGCCCAGCAGGCAGCAGTGTCCGGTGTGCAAAGCGGGCATCAGCAGAGAGAAAGTCATCCCCCTGTACGGCCGGGGCAGCTCCAGCCAGGAGGACCCCAGGTATGCCGGCCGCTCTCTGCCGAGGCGCCGCCCCCCCCCCACCGGACGGCCGCTTGACCCGTCTGTTTGTGTCGCTCAGGTTGAAAACGCCACCGCGGCCTCAGGGGCAGAGAACGGAGCCGGAGAGCAGAGGGGGGGTGAGTGCGTGGGGCCGAGCGCTTCCTTGGGGGGGGGCGCTCTGTGGGCTCACGCTGTGCTGCCTCTGCTCAGATGTTCCAGGGCTTCGGAGACACCGGCTTCCACATGTCGTTTGGCATCGGCGCCTTCCCCTTCGGCTTCTTCACCACAGTCTTCAACACCAACGACCCCTTTCACAGAGCAGGTGAACATAACAAAGAACATCATCTTTTTTTTATCTTTTTAAACAAGGATTTTGGAAGTGCTAAAATCCAAACAGAATCAGATGAGATAAGCCTTTGGGTCACAATCTGGTTATTCCGACTGCATTAAGGAGGTACCAAACAGTTTTATAGCTCATATCATGTTGGTGTCTGAAACTTTTTAGCTCCTAACCTTTACACGGTTGATGACGATTTTGAGTGGAAAAAAAGCAACTTTGTTGCATCTCTTTAATCCTGGAGAAACGCAACAATAATCGTTCTGTCGGCCTGAGTTATTTTCCCATTCTCTAATTGTAATTGTTTTTGGGTGTACAAACCACCAGAACAGACATATGATCATATATCTTTCTTAAACATCACTGATCTCTGGCTGAAAGGGACAAGATTTCAGCTCTTAAAAATCTATGTAAATTCACTCTTCATTTCAAGCAAATGACAAAAGAACAAAGATCAAGAGCAAAATCTAATAGCTTTATATCAAGTGTCATAGAGGATAGGTTAAATGTAACTTAGGTGACCACCTTTGTTCTCCCTCTGTCCTCAGATCAGTATGCAGGTGATCACCAAGGCAACGGTAACATGAACAACGGCAACAACAACTGGCAAGACTCCCTCTTCTTATTCGTGGCCATTTTCTTCTTCTTCTGGCTGCTGAGTGTCTGATGGAGACTGGATTGGTGGATGCTGGACAGGATCAGTGACTGGGAGGGGCACACGCACGCACACGCACACACACACACACACACAGACACACACACAAACTCACACAGATCGCACGTTATGTAACCAAGCACAGATTGGAGAGCCGGCCGATTCCTAAACAAGAAACACAGGTTTTCTCTGCTTCTAAAAATGGATCAGTCTGCCCCAATACACACATACACACAGACACACACCCGTCATGTTATTTTGTTCATGCAAGAAACACTCCAATCCAAGAGTGAGTAACTGCCCCCACCCTCTGCCCCACCCCCACACCCCCCCTGTAGATATGTGCTCACAGGTGGACGCTGCTGTTTAAAGGTCTGCTGGTGTTCAAAGACAGTATTCCTGATCAGGGTGAGCGAAGCGTAAAGGGTTTTCATTAACCTGTCCTGTAGGTGAACGCTGTACTCGAGAGGTGGATGATTCTGTTGTGGTTTCTCATTGTCCCCCTCCTCTAAAGTTGTGGGCAAAACAGGTGGGCTGGGCCAGTGAAAGGAGGGGTTTTACCCCCCCCCCCCCTCCTGAGAGTCCAAAGAGTTTGAGGAGGCGCGGCTGGATGCCTTTAAATGCATTTGTCTTAACGAAAACCCGCCGTCACACTGTGACGTGGTCGGCCCGCCACAGTGGACGCGGGCTGCTGGTCAAACACCTGATGCGTTCATCCCCAAAAAGGTCAAAGCGATACCAAGCGGGACAATTCTTTTGGGCCATGAATGTGAAAACATGCAAACCATATGCGGGATTCAAAGGTTTCACAGAGCTGCACTTCCCCCAAAACGACAGGTTACGAAGGACTCCCGAACGACAGATATGTTTTTCTAACAGCGACTTTGTGTCCGACAGAGTGTGTGTGCGTTGAATGTCTGTAAATATATGAATATTGTAAATGCTGTTTTTATGTGTTTCTGACTGGCAAATGTGTGTCTGCATCCAGATGCTTTTGTAAAGCAGGAAATGATCAGGTTCCTGGTTTTCAGGGCTCCTTAACCCCCCACAAAGTCACAGAGAAAGGCTTCCCTCCCTTCTAATGTGAATGAGTGAGCAGAATGTTTTCTCCCCTCTACTGTACCGCCTTCGGACGGAGCGAGAAAACAAATGAAAATGTCTGAAGAAAACGTGAAGCCTCGTCTCTTTATCTCTTACCTGGATGTGTGGGTTCACCCAGTCCACAGAAACTTTAAGCGACTTTTTCCCGTCGCCTTCGCCGCATAAAGCTTCATGCTAATGACCTAATTACCTTCAGCCAAGAATCTGATGATTGATCTTCTCACCGAGGTCAGAGATGAAGCTAAAGGTCCTCTGTGGACTGGACGGAACGTCTGCAGGGGCTCATCATGTCCTGCATTTCTCTCTGTTTAAGCTCCACTTTGTATTAACAGGCTAATGTGACACTAAATATTATGGAAGCTGAAAGTTGTGAGTCTACAGACAGACTAAATGTGGAGATGCTGTGCAAAACCAACTGGTTTAGGAGATTAAAATTGATTAAAGCGTTGAAATGTGTGCTGTAGGTTTGCGCTTATTGTTGGGAAGGGACAGAACTGGAACTAAAATGACTTAATTGCCGTTCTGTAGAGCCTTGAATGATCTTATCCATCAAAATAACTTTAAAAGAAAAAGGTGATGAAAGGCTTTAATGTACGTTGTGTCTTATTTACAATTTGTTTACAATATTTCCATTTAAATTATACTTTTTTTATATAAAAACTTTTTTTTGCACATACAGAAAAAGGAAAATCACATCTTGGAACAAAAATCCCTCAATTTACTGATGTATATCTTGCAAAAAATAAAGTAAGCAAAAATATTTACACTATATTTAAAATAATGAAAGACATTAATCCATTTTCAAATTGACCCATCAGAAATAAGGAATTGTTTCATGTGGTCCACATTTACCAAAAATATCACCTATGATTACTCTCAGCCCTGACATGCTCATAATCATCAACACTTAAAAAAACATGATAAAAGATTAAAATGTGCAAATGTTGCATCAGCTTTGTGAATGAATTTGGGGAACAGTTGAAGAGGGAGAAATAATGAGGGCATCCTTAAAGTTTGCGATTGTTTCAGGTTTTCATGAGCCTCAGTTGTCTCTTTTACCCTTTTTTGGCACCTTGTTGGATTTGTTGAGGATCTTCATGAGGTTCTTGGACATGAAGTACGGCTTCTGCAGAGATCCATCGTTGCGCTCCAAGTCCTCCACTGCGAGATGAACAGCCACAATGAGTGGTGAGACAGAGTTGGCTGTTTTTGACTGAGGCGATCACAAAGTGAAACGTGTGGGAGGATAGCTGTGAAGTGTGGACATGTACTCACAGAAGCAGAGGAAGAGCGTGTCCACACACATGTTGTAGACACTGAAGAACCCGTGAGCTATGAGGTAGCTGCCAAAAACCACCGTCTGCAACAGAATCCATTCAGGGGTAAGAATAAACTCAGAGTTGTTAAAAATAGAAAGTGTACAAAGAGTCGTGAGTCGCTTACAATAATTGGCATCCAGTAGTAGTTGAGAGTTTCGGATTGGAACGTGTTGCCTGGCAGCAAAATTCGTCCAGAGAAGAAAAAGAAGGATAAAACACCTGCAAAAGGTTGTTTAAAACATATGATGTCATATGAATGAATAAGAAAATTTTTTGTGCAAAAAGAATACTGAAACAAACGCACTGAACGAACAGCTTTCACCGTCACTTCATTCTTCTACCCCTTGGGCCTCAACATCTGAACCAAAGCTTTCACAAACACTTATCCAATCATGACTGTTTACATTCCACTTTTGGTAAAACACTGCTTCACTTTTTAGCATTTACACGTTTTTACCATAGTTGAAAATAACTTTGCAGGTCTCAAGTGATATTTTTCCCCTCTTGCACTTCAGATTTTCAGCCCAACCCAAATTTGTGGGCTGTAATAAAAAACATCTACCACTCAATTAAATAAAAAGTTTGACTGCTAAATGATTCAGGAGGTTCCCAACAGATCTATTGGCAGGGATGTGCCTCATTTCATATCTGAATGCTGTCAGCCTGCATGTTTGGCCTCAAAACGCTCCTTAGTTAAAGTTGCTGTGCGGCTCTACAGCAGACACACACACACACACACGTTCAGCCTGGTTCTGTGTCATCCTCACCGACTCCTCCAACCACCAGCAGCTTTCCAAAGAACAGCAGCACGTCGGTGACTTTATCAAGCACCACGACCCTGCGAGTCAGAGGAACAGACGCCGTTCACAGAGTCTCTCACACGTGCAGGTTAAGACTTGCTCAGAGACAGAGGAAACTACACAAACCTGATTATATTTCTCATCAGCAGCTTAAAAGCATTTTTGGCTGAAACGCAGAAGTTTTTCCCATAGACGGCGATCTGGGAAAAGAACATTAAAGTTACCTCAAATAGAAGTGTTTTTACTTAGTGGGGGTCTTTAGTTTTAGAGGTTAAAACTCCAAACCCTTCACCGCATAATTCTGTCTCACCATGATGTAAGCATTTCTGTTGAGGAACTTTATGAACTTCTCCAGACACCAGAAGCAGCACTTCATGCAGCACAGAATGAAACGAGCGACTGGATTCTGCGCCGCTGGAAAAGAGGATTTGTGAGACGGTGTCAGCGCTGGAGTTTAACTGAGTAGCAGAATCGGTCAGCTTTCCACCACAGTCCGACAGAGGCCATTCCTTCTGGACCGTTACACAGGTGGAATGAGCTTACATCTGGTTTTGTGGTCGATGTACTCCAGCAGCATCCGCACGATCTGCACCAGGGTCAGGATCAAGGCTCCGAACGCCAGCGAGCCCACGTGATACCTGAAAGAGCAAAGGTTAAGCCTCACAGAGTAAGAGCTGATGCTACCAACACAGGAATGAAAGATAATCAGAAATTTTCAAAGTAAATGAAAGATAACAGCAAGACTTGTAGAATGAATCCTATGGGGCACATGTGGTACTTCTGGCATCAGGGCAAACAGTCCTGAGTGGAGGAAGATTGAACCATCAGACTGATCATTACATTCATGGTGGAGCTGATTACCCACCTGAGTGAGCGAATAAAGCTGGCAGTCAAAGGAAACATGGGGATGTCACTCGGCTTGGTGAAGGCCCAGTAATAGGAGGCGAAGGCCCCCGCCAGCGTGCACTGCCCCAGAGCTATGACGAAGTTGACACACCAGAGGAAACCCACGGCGTTGTAGATCTGCAGGTTGAAGAGGTTTCTCTGGAAAAGGCCTTCTTCGTTGTAATTGATGAAGATGCAGCTGGCTGTGGGGCAGTCTGGGTAAACCGACGAGTTGAAGTTCTGAGAGAGGTCAACAGAAAGTGCTGAGTGACAGAGGGATTTTCCCCAACTTTTGAAAAAACAATCAAAGCCAGAATGAGCCTCCGGGGTGAAAGACTTACAAATGGTAGCCTTACCTCAGACGGAGAAAATATGTAGGTGTTCTGCCCCCCTCTACAGAGTGTTTCTCTACAGCTGGTTGGAATTTTAGTGGATGTGTAATGGTGTATTTTTTTTCTCTATCAGCAGATTCAGTCTCAAACAGAGGTGGTGTTACATTGTACAGTTGTAGGGGGAGTCACAGAGCATTTCTAATTCCCAACGTGCTCATCAGATCTGTGGTGTCCTTTAAAGGTAACATTTCTTCACCCATCTTAAAATAAAGCGGGGGCACAAGAGGCATTCACTGTGCACCTACCAGAGGGTCACAGCTCACTGAACCGTTGATGTCCTGACAGCTGCTTGTTGTGGCGTTGAGAGCCACCACTTTGTACACCGGCTCCCCTGAAGTGGCCAAATACCTGAACACAGCTGTTAAGGACAGTACCTGATACTGCGAAGTGTACAGGATTAAACAGTGACACCCTTCAGACAAATGTACACACTTCAACAGGATACAGGGCTGTGGCGCCCCAGTAGGCCACACACACTAGCAGGAGGACGAAGGTGACCAGAGGGTAGAGCAGAGTGGACATCATGTGACTAATTGCTCTGAGGGATGCAGACACAGTTCGAGTTACATGTTATAAAGTACAAATACAAGAGAGACGAACAGGCAAAGAAACCTCCGGAGGTGCAGAACACCTACGCTCAGCATGTTTCAGGTGAAAAGTGGGCTGCTGCCTTTTCCGGTCTTTTATGACAGAACTTACTTGCTGGCCTCCTGAAGGAGAGCGATGGCTATGAGGATTCTGGTCCGGAGGAATATGATGGTCAGAAGAATGATGGCCTCCGCCACAGAGATGATGATCACTAAGGAATAGAAAGTCAACTTCTGATCCTCAATGTGAGATAAATTATATTTGAACCCAATGTGTGTAAACAAAATCATCACTATGGACATTTTCTTCGTTTTGAGGTGATCAGTTTAATGTTCCCTACATATTTAATGCAGTTAATATAATGGATTTTTACATTTTGTTTAATAGATGCTGCATTTTTATTCTGTAAAGTACTTATCCAATCTTGGTTGTTTTGTTATGTTTTTTATAAATAAAGTTTGCTTGATTTGATGTATCAGTAGCTTGGATGACAAAAGGATAGCACTGTAAAGAAAAAGAAACAAGGCTCACAGAAGGCCAACCAGGTCTCTTGGACTTCCAGATAAATCTTTAAGTCGGTCGTGAACCCAACATCAGAAATGCTTGCAGACCGTTGTTTGTAGTTATCATACTCCCAGTAGCAATGCCATATGCCTGCAAAGCAAAACAAACATTGATTTCAACAAATGTAATAGTTTCCATATTCTAAACCAATAAGTTCCAAAAAAGAAACTGGGTGATAGTTTACCGTATGCACCCGCACCCAGGAGTCCCACGATGAGAACCCACACCATGACCGGGGCGGTGAACCTCAGCAGCAGCAGGAACAGCATACTGACAAGCATGGCTATCACCAGACCCCTGAGACCACAGACAGCTGCAGTTAGCAAGACGATGAAACAGCATCTAAGAAAATGTTCAAGTACAGTCTCATATCTGAGAAAATGTACCTTTAAAAGATCTAGATGGTCACACTTAATGAAACTACCCCATCTGCTGGCATAAACTGATACATACCTACACTAAGTAATAATTATAATAGTAATTAATAGCTATTTTATAAAAATCTGAGGAACACACAGTAAATTTGAATATTTCAATGCTGTATTCACATGATTTAAAAGGCTAGACAAAAGTCAAATTTATGGACAAAAAAAGCTGCTGCATTGGGGTAAATTTCACCATTATGCTATGAAATCTGATTTTTTTTTTAAGCAGTATGGAGTTTCAGAGTTATTTATATCTATCAGCAGGTTTCAGTGAAGCACAGCAAGGCAACTCACAAAAGGATCCAGGGCCATGCAGATGCAAAATCCTCAAATATTCTGATCCCTATGTCCTTTGCACTAAAACTGTTTGTAATATCCCTGGTGAATAAAGAGAAAAACAAATGTAAGATGTTATAGTGGGAGATATCAAACGGTAAAAATAAAAAACAAAGGTTTCAAAATGCAAAAAGAACAATAAAATAAAGACAAACTCAAAAACATATGTCAGTTTTCATAGAAAATGTGTCTAAACCTAGTGCAGGGATAACTGAAATGTCCAGGAGATGAACATCATGCAGCTTTCATTTTCTCTAATGAGACCTAAAAACATGCTGAGGGAGCAGAAATGACCCCAGACGATCAGCTCAGAGAGACAGACTGCAGAAAGCTCCAAATAAATGCTTTAATGGTGCAAGTCCCAAAAGAACGTTTGGCATGGCACCCGAGACTGCTGTGCACTGCCAAGATAAACAGCAACGAGAGAAGCACCACCCAGCTGCTACACTAATAAAAACTCACAAATTCACCGACCCTGAGCTGGTGATGGAGGGGAGAAAGAGAAAGCAGTGTTGTGGGTTATTTTGTATGTTGAGTTGAAGGTTAGGTGATACCATCTTGATGGTAAGCTCAGAAATCGGTCTCTTACCCAGTGCCATTCTGTATGAGGGCCACCGTTTCGTTGACAGAGGACGGTAAACCTGGTATATTGTCAAAATGTGAGGACAGCTCTCCCAGTCTTGAGAAATCCGGCAAACATCTCCCGAGCACTAACAGAAGAGAAAATACGCACAACAAATCCAAATGACTGGATTTTTTATCTTATTGTGAAAACACAATAGAGTTGTGACACCAACCAAAACACAAGAAAAAGAAAACCACTAATATAAAAAAATGTGTTAAAATGTTCACCCACCAGACTTTGTTGGCGTGTAGAAGAAAGGACACAGCTCCAGATCCACAATCTCTTTGACATTCTGTCAAATAATTTTTAAGATGAGTTGTTGACATGTTTTTCACTAAAGAAGTAAATAGAAAAAACTTAACTGCAGCTCACCTTGCCAGGCTCTTTCAGATTTAAACTTGGGACACAGTATTTTGGATCAAAAACACGCTCTGGTGTCTTCCCATAATCTAATAGGTTTACAGCCCAGAATTCAGTGGGGCAGGTCTCCACGCACACCTAAGGGTCATAAAAAAAATCATTACTTCTGTGAAACCAAGCAGTTAGAAACGACTGAATCCAGATTCTCTACCTGGGTGGTTGGACACTGAAGGCCATTTAGAGCAGTTTCCAGAACGTTTACAGACGTGGCACATTTGAGGATGTCAAAGTAGAACAGGTTGGGGCGGTCTCTGAGTGAGGAAAATAATTCAAAAGTTATAACAGCATTCAAATCTTTTTCTATCATGCAAAATTAATACGTGAATCAAAGATTAAATTACTTGTTTTGTCCAATACCACAGAACGATCCAGTTGAATTTCTTGGATATAGAACATGTCTAGGATCTCCATAGAGCCAGGCTAATAGACAGAGAAAAAACATTAAAACAGTGATGAAAAAGAAGCTTCTACTGTTTTATTTAAAAAAAAGTCCAACACAAAAGCTGGACAAGGAGGCTTGACTTCCTGCCCCCCCTCTCTGCGCCCCCCCTCTGCCCCCTTTTCTTGTAAATAAAGGGCACTAAACACAAGAAAACCTTTAAAAAAATGAATAGAAATCAAATCAAATTGGACTAGTATGAAAAAATTGAATAATTTCCACAATTCTTTTTTTTTTTTAATAAGCTCTCAATTGACTGGTCCATATTTGCTCAAATTTCACTTCTGGTCATGAGACTCAATACAAAATGGATTCCACATAATCCTTCATGCAAAACATATATACATGCAAAAAGAATTCTACATAAATATGATAAGTATAAATAGTCATATCCGCCTTATATTTTGTATTTCAGACTTTTATGCGGTTTTTACACAGTCAAGCCATAAGAGGGCACCAGATGCTTTCTTAATGTCCTGCTTTAAACTGGATTAAAAACCAACTGCTACCTAATGCAACTAAAGTTAAAATACATTATTGATATGTTCTATCATAGAGGCTGTGATTTATAGCAGACCCCTTTAGTTCAGGGGAAAGCACACGTTAGACGGTACTTTGCCCCTCCCTTTGTCTGTATTCTGAGTTACCAGGGTGACCGGCACCTGAAGGGACCGCAGCTTCATTGCATTTATTTATTCTGTTTGTGGACTGAATATCTGACATTTATCCGATGAAATTAACCATTAAACAGGTATCAAAAAGGTTTAACCGGAAAAAAAAGAGCGGGAGAAAGAGTTATAGGTGAATTCCTTGAACATTAACACTGCCTTTTCATAAATTTTACTCACTGAAAGTTTTACTGATTATACTATAATAAGTCAGAAAAAAGATGTATCGTCTTAAGCAAAATAAATCCTCATTAGCCACTCTAGGGGCTATTAATAAACTCAAACAAAAACATGAATGATGAATCCAGCCACACTAGTGACCTGCATACATAAGGTGACTGAGTAACCCACATAAATCGGTCTGCTCTGTTGACTCTAGATAAGAAAAAGGGCCCTGAGTGTTGGAATGAGTTTGATGGCAGGGCCATAAAGAGCTGTTGGCCGTATGTTCACAAGGAAATAAATGAATGGAAATTTGATTCATTACCATAAGGGGACGCATTACAGTCATTTAATTTGGTGAAATGAAAATGTTGAACTTGTCCTTTGTTGACTAGTATAAATGTCAAAATAAAAAAGGACAGTAAAGAGAGACTGAGGAGCTTGTGTTGGTGCTGACGATGTTCATCTCACCTAAAATGCCAACTCCGATGTAGCCAAGGAGGACAACCAGGAACAAAACACAGCAGATTATGTCGGTGCACCCTCTGAGAAACAAAAAGAGCCGGAAACATGTGAGCGCACAAGCCAAGCTCTAATCTGAGGATGATAAGTGTGTTTCCACAGAAACAAACACGTCACATCAGGATAGCGGATCTTCTCACACAGTTTTACCTTTTCCTTATGGGTCCATTAAATGTTGGGTCAAACTCAGCTGGTTCTCCTAGGAAGTGAAAAACAATTTATTATTAATGCCACTGTTAAGAATCTGATTATTAAGGTCACATTGGTAGCTTATCTCTGTGTTTTTATCAGAGCAATAAAACCGACAAAGACAAAAAGAAAGTATGTCTGTCCTGTTTGAATGTGGCAAGATTTCTATTACTAAATTTGTGTTAATTGGAGTTATTTGAACTAGTGCTGTGTTTATAATGTGCTATTTGGGTCCAAATAGTGGGTGTTTCATTCAGTTCCCTCCAGAATCCGTCAGTGATCAGACATCATACTGGCGTATATGTGTGACCCTATAAAACAGGGTGTTGCTTGTATTTTACAACGATGTATTTCCTTGTGCAGCTTTCTCAAAGTGAATGAATTACAATGCAAGCTAATTAAAAGAAAGATTTCTAAAACATGGGAGTACATTATGTCCTTTGTGGTTTGGTTGCTGAGAGATCCTGGACAATATAAAACACCAACCTAGTCAGGGACGTGTTACAGAGGGAAATGTGCCATTGTTGCTTCCTTGAACACAGAATGACTGCCAGCAAGTACAGTCAACCCAGTGGGTGTCACTTTTCTGCTTTACATACTGTATGTGAAATCACAATGTAGAGGGAAGGCACTAGTGTACTGACCCATTGAGCTATTCCAATCAAATTCAAATTGAATGTTCAATTTGTAGAATTTGGAGAGCCACATTCATTTCATCATCTAAATGGGAACAATGACAAATGTGGAAATGTGTTTGAGGAGATTGCAACTGAAAACATTCCAATCCTTGACACTCAGATTTGCAAGGGATTGTGTTGCACTATCCTGTTCCACAGGAAAAACCTGACAAGTCACCCCTACAAAACATCTATCACAGCACCATCTGATTTGCACTCTAGTATTTATGAATAAACTTATTTCTGAGGTATAACAATGTTCCACTAGAATGGATTTTTCCAACCTCCAAAAATAAATGATAAATGATCCTGACTGGGAGTAATTTGAGTAAGAGTGAATGGAGCCTGTGTCAACACTGCAGCGACAACATCGTCGGGCTCTCAGTAGGATGCAAATAATACACCAGGATGCAATTTAGTGCTTTATCACGAGACACACGACTGTCGTGGCCTTGGACAGTGTTAAAAAATATTACAGAAGCCTAAGCTTACTCCTTCAAAATAATGACAAAATTAGGTGCTTGCAGTGAGGGTAAGATGCATGACCCCGAGCTGTTTTAGGTTACAACAAAGTTCATTCATAAAGGGCTCAGGATATGTTTTCCTGTCATTTCTGTCTTGTTTGCAGTGCTACAACAGCGGAGATGATCCAGAATGAGTTTAAGTTTCTCTTCGTTGGGTCCCTGCTTTTACAGTAATATCTCATGTGGCTCATCAGTCATTTCTGGTGTGTGAATGTCTTTGTGTTTAAGTGTCTTAAAACTATGTAGTGATAATGAAGCAGCAAAGTAAACGACTCTTTACATAATGCACTTTTTCACAGGCCTCCTGCTTTGCAATGAGTGTCAGATTTCCGCATAAATAAGGACATGAATGACTCATGTGACATCGTGTACCATTGCTGCGCAAATAAATGGCATTTCAGTTTTATGCCCTTGTAAAAAAAGACTGTAGGAAAGTTTTAAACATGTAACCATTGTACCTCGGACAGAGGATTTTACGACTTTGATTTACAAAGTTCAAAATGACGAGTGCATAGACTCATCAGTTGACCTTGGAAGAAGACGAGTGACGCAGAAGAGGTAGCTAGTACATCAGATCTCTCTGATAACTGGAGGAATGTATTTGAAACAAGAGCAGACAGTACCTTACTAAAAGCAGAAATATATTTTCTCCTATCTCACCATTGCCAGACGAATGAAATACAATCCCCTTTGCTGATCACATACGGTATATACAGGACAGGGAAATTAGTATATTCATTAAAAAGTCTTATATGTAAATATAGGACTACATTAATGTTAAGTGTACGCTCATATAATCAGAACAACATAGACTATACTTTATAGTCCACTCAACCTTAAAAGTACTCATGAAAACCATCAAACTCTTACTTCTCACAAACAATGTGTGTAAATGAAAATATGCGAGTTTATAATAAAAAATATATAGTCAAAAATCCTCACAGCCTGCTCATATAAAATGTTTACATCTTGCTTCCCTAACTAAGTGGGGCCAGTGGAGAGCTGAAGATCTACTTCATAGAGTTGTGTGTCTTAATTCTTATAAATACAAACATTACATAGATATGTATCAAACATCAAAATATTCTACCAAGTTAGGTTTTAAATTGTGATACCTATTTCCCAAAAGCAGTTTTAAGAAGTGCCCTGGTAAATGATTTACAGAAACAGCCACTAACAAGTCACTTATTTTCTAACACAAGCTGCAAATGCTTCCTCAACCGAAACCTGTTTTAAGCTCCTCTGATGGTATGAGATGAAAAAAGTTGCGCAAAGACCCTTTATGGAGGCAAAAGGAAATTAGTTACAATGAATCAGGAAGTTTTATTGCAAAAGGTTCTTAGTTCCTCATATCTATTGTTGATGGACAGACAAAGGTTTTGTTTCTAACCTGTTTATACAAGGGCCAGCTTTCACACTTTTGTGTGTAATGTTTTCATAAGTTAACTAAGCAGAAATAAAATCCAACTGGGTCTGTATTTCCAGGGAGGGAATGTTTACTGCAGCCTGACTATTCCTCCCTGAGAGTCAACACACTTGTACCAGGCGTCAAAGACGGTAAACTGGGATGCACCACACAGATTATCTGATCTCAAGCTGGTCTGAGAAGTCTGCAGTAACAGTGACAGCCACAGAATTTCACTTTTTAGCATCTTTTATAAAACAGCTGAACCTTTGAAATCCCTTTCTGCCAAAGTGTGTTTTTCTTCTTTCCCCTTCCACTAATTTAACACTCTGTTAGAGTCTGTGGCTTTTCAGACATTAATAAAGTTTGTTCACGTTCCTCGCAGCATTACTTCAACCGACAGCAAAAGACAAAAAGAATTAGAGAGAGGGAAAATTAGCCTTTCACACAGGAACAAGACCTGTCTGGGGTGTACTCCTCGAGTCGGATACGTGGACACCCTCCCCACAATCCAAAGGGCCCTTGCTAAGGTCATGGTGCTTTGAATGATTAAGAGCTCTTTCAGCAGAAAGAGGAGAGCGCTCCTCATATTAGGCAGCTGATCATAATGTTATGGCTGTTTGGGATAGTTATTGTCTGACGACAAAATGATTTTTAAAACCCATATAAGCCTGTTAAACCAACCAAGGCTGTACAAACAAAAGCATCCCGAACTAGAATTACATCTACGAGGATCAAAGAATACCTGTATTCAGAAGTTCAAATAGACTAAAACCGGTCATGCTGCTCCACACATATGCACAAAAGGCTACCGTGGCATACTTTCTTAAAAACTATAAAGTTTACGTGTATAGATATACAGCTGCATACCCCAAAAGCTAGCCTCATAAACATATTTCTTTTTTAATGGTTGGAAATTGTTATTAACAATCAGTCACTTTAGGACATCGGAGTTACTGATCACTTAAGACACTTCAGCTCAAAATAAAAATTAAGCTTTTTTCCCCCTCTTACTCTATCACATCTCAAACCAACCGTGCATATAACCATGTTGAGTCATGAATTTTGGTTTGACCAAAAAAAAATATCACAAAACAAGCATTCTAAAATTCCTGCCTCAGCTTTCATGGCTAACCTAAAACTTATGAAGTACTGAAGAGAGAATTTACCGCAGAGACTGCAATTATTATTTTAACCAGTTAACTCAATTTAAACACAAAAAGTTCACCAACATTTGGATCTATAAAGGATTTGGGTGGACAGAAACATTTAACCTTACCAGTAAATTGAAAAATGTCTTAAATCAGTGACAGAGGCCTAATTGTCTAAAAAAATAATATATCTGTAAGTAATTTACAAGCAAAATGAGTAAAGATTCTTACTTTGCAGTGAATTTGGCTTTAAAACTCTTAGCCAACTAAAAAAATAGAACCTACATTTGTGGATATTTTTCATCATTTTAATATTTTATGTATAAAATAAGTTTGCACAACTTTGACTAACTTACCAACTAAAGTCAGACTGTTAAAAGCTTGTTTAACTTTTTTTCACTTAACACTCATAACAGATTATGACTGGGGCAACAATAATTTAAGAGTCATTTATACTTTTGTTATCAGAGACCAGTGCCAAACGAGGACCTTTCTTTATCTTTTTGGTCAAAAAGTTCGACCTGTGACTAGTTACACTGTCTGAATGTCAAAAGACGTCATGTTTACCCCATACCTGTTTTATTTAAAGTCTTTACACGAGCTTTCTGTGTATTATAACATGCTCATTTAGTATTTTTGTTGTTATTGTTTTTGACATGCTAATATGTGTTGGATAACAACACTTATGCCAAGTGAGCGTGTTGATATGATCAGCTGTGTGATTAAATCGTGTTTTAACACTGATATGATGCAAATAGTTGACAAGAAGAGAGCCTTATATTCACCAAAGTGGAGTTAGTTGGTTTTAGTTGTAGTTACTGAGCGTTGGGTCTGTGGGTCCTCAGCGGAAACTAACGGGCGATGTCAACTCACCGTACGCGGAATCCGGGTTTTCCTCTTCTCGCTTTTTTCCCATGTTCCGACTTCACCTCCACCTGCTGCCCTGTAAGTCCTAACAACAACCTTGGCTGACTGAGAGCAAGTCTAAAAGTTCGCCAAGACGTTAAATGAAGGCTATAAAATCGGGGCAAACGGGTGTAACGAGTGCCAGCGCCGGGAAATCTTTTCCTTCCTGGCACCGGTAACTAATGGTGACGACACGAGCGCACCTGCTGAGGGATGCGCACCTGCGTGGATGCACCGAAGACTGGTTATGCAAAAGAGGTCTCACTCGTCAAAGAATCCAATGTCGCTGAGATGTCTGATGCATAGAAAAATGTCGCCTGTGTACAAATGTAATTGTATTGTTTTACTTTACCAAAGATATGCTAACAATTGGAACCGGTTGTCATTTATCGCGAATTCAAGCCTAAGAAAAGTCTAAAGGTTCTCTTCAATTAAACGTGTCGGACTTTTGTTTTTCTACTATAGGCACTTCTAAGTCAAATGAATACTTTTAGTAAAAAATACTTTCCACTAAGGTCGACAAACTTTACTAAATTACTTTAGAAATATGTTATTTGTATGTTTGATTGGAAAAACCAAATGTAATGAAACAGAGTGACGCATCTGTAACTCTCACAGTAGCATAGCTTGAGCAGCTATGCTCCATTTCCTCACAATCTCCAAATTCTACCCAAAGTACCCCCTGCTGGACAAAGGTTTTAAAACAACAGCCATGAAAACAAAAACAAATTGGAAGCCTCCCTAGTTGAATTTATGAACACAGCACAACAGCATCTTGTGTTGTGTGATATAACTATATTCATATTGATGCCAGACAAAAAATAAGCTAAGTCATGAGTTAATTTATTACACTACAAATGACAAAAGAGACAATATGTATAAAAAAATAGGGACAAAAGAAAAAAAAAATCCATAAACAAAAAATCAATAGAGGCCCTTAATGAGTGCAGCATGGGTTTGATGGGGAAAGTTTAGTTTTTGTACCAAAAAGCATTGTTTGTTGGCACAATATAAAAAAAGAAAAAGATGTGGTGATATATATATATATAAAATGCATTTATAATTGGCAGGTAGATGAAGGCAGACTCCTGGTGCACATCTGTATAAAGGCATACGTTGTGAGATACAGTAAAATTACAGTATACACTGAATCACATGACCTTCACCTTCAACTTCTTTATAAAAAGTAAAGGTCCTGACCTCTACCATGAAAGTATGAAATGACAATGTGATCGTTTTGGGAAAAGAATATCTCCTGTGGGAAAACAAACAACAAAAAGCACCATATACAGCATCCCTCAAGCATGATGTACTTCCATTACTATTGTGGACATGTAAAACTGGTGATAATCCAAAGGGCCCAAAAGAAAGTGTTTCAAGAGTTTCCAAGCATGGTCATCCCGCAGTCGGCTCCGGACTCTGAGCAGGCCTCCAACCGAGCCAGCCTGCTCTGCTCCAAGGCGATGGCCTCAGCCGAGTGCTTGCATTTCTCTGATCCACACTGGCAGGTGAAGTACTTGCTCTTAATGTCCCAAAACCGGTCTCCGTAGTCAAACCTAAAGACAAGTGAAAGATGTGAGCCTTTTTGAATGAAAAAAGTAGAGATTAAAACACAGCTGGAAGAGGTGAGCCTGAGTGAGATGTGAGGATGGAAAGACAGGAAATGTCCTGCTGGCATGTAACAGGTCAAAAAGTCAGCGCCTCACCCCAGCTCCTGCCCACTGAGGATGTCCCTGGAGCTGAAGAAGGCGATGCGGGGGAACCGCAGGTCCTGGTGCAGCATGAACACTCGGACGGGGATCAGGTTTGGGTCACAGAGGTGGTTGATGAAGCGGCTAATGTTCCCGTAGTACCGCGCGTCAATGCAATACACCTCTCCATCCTTTTCAAAAACAACAACAACAAAAAAAGCAGCTGACATCAGAGCTGATGAAGCGTTCGGCAGGGCTCCAGAACTTTATGCTTTTAAGTTTTGTGTTGAAACACACTTCTATCTCTTGGCTTTTAATGAGACTTCTACCTTTTGTATTGTTTTTGCTTATTCTTTTTTATAATTCATTTCACTGCTCTTGGTGCCTTATTTGCTCTTTAATGTACAACGCAAGCTAAATGACAGGCTTTTGTCAAAGAAAATAAAACTTTGAAAGGTGCCCAAAGATTTGCAAAGAGCACCATTCTTTTAAGTCCTAAATTTGTGCAAAAACCCTTGTTTAAAGAAAAGTATATATTTATATATATATATATATATATATGTATATATATAAGATTTGTGTCATGTATGCGTGCAAGTTTAAATACTCCTCCACAGAAGTAAATGTATCTCATGTTACCTGATGGAGTGACAATAGAAAATGTGATCTAAACGTGAAACGCTGGGCTAAAACTGTGAATTCAGGATTCAAACAATTATTTACATCATTACTAACTGCACTAACAATGCCATGCTGTCTCCACCCTTCATGTTAAAAAGGTTCACCTTATTATCCAGGTCAAACAGGTATGAGTCATCTTCTCTAACGTCTGCTTCAGCATCCGAGATCAGCTCCCCAACATATCTACAGGTTTGAGAAGAATGATACATCCTTTTAGGTTGTTTTTACTAAATAAAAGCCGCTTAATTGTGTGGAAACAGACAGGCCTCTCATACTCGCAGATGAAGCTGCCCTGGGGTATGTCCTGCAGAGCTCGAACTCCCCAGCCCATCTTCTCTGTCCTGTAGAGCTGCAGACGAACTCTGAGGGGAAAGGGGAGTTATGAGGGTTGAGAGCGTAGCTGAGGCCACAAGCTAATTATAAAAACTTCTTTGCCAGACTATTTGCACCACAGGGCTCCCTCTTTCTGCAGAGGTGTTTATCATCTGTGACCATGTCAGCTGCAGATTGATTAATAATTACTGACTTGCCCTGTTTGGCTTCAGCAGCCTGTAGAAAGATACCTGAGAGAAGCAGCTACTTTCACCCCATTGTGGCTAATAAAAAAGGCAATGTGTGGCTTTATTTGTGTTCCAAAGAAAAGCAAAATGTTTTTAGTGTGTCATGTACGTTTAGATCAGGTGTGTTTAATGTGCTGCTCTTACTTGATTCCTGCCTGGACCACTCTGTTCTTACATGTTCGATGACACGAACACGCCATGTTGCACTCAAAGATGAGTGGAGGTTCAATTTTGTTGAACTCCTGAAGTAGTCGCTGGTCCTGGTGAAATGGGAGAACAACGTGAGGCTGAGTTAACCATCTTCTGAGGATCGATGTCTCTTTTTCATTTCCAGGTTGGAAATACCTGAGACTTTTCATAACAAAACACTTTCCTGTAGATACTGAAAGGAATTTAGAATAAAGTAATCAAAGCAACAACATGTCTATATTGGGGTCCTGAGGCTCTTTTGAGGATATCAGTGTTTTAGAAGTCACTTACCTTGTCATACCAGCAACGAATGCTGAGCTGTCCACAGAGGCAGTTACTCGATGAGCAGTCGTCTGTGCAGCCGCAGTGCTAAAGGCGAGAAACAATTTCAAATGAGCTGATGTCAATAAAAACAAAAAGCTCAAAGCAACAAATCAATTAAAGAAACAAAAAAACAATTAAATCACCTGTAAGTGTGTGATATTACGATCTATATTCATTGCTGAGGTTTCACAGTTTTCTGAAACATATTTATAATCCGAGGGACAACCCTCATCATCCACTGCATTCACACAGGGGATCGGAGCGTTCTCGTAGCCCTGCGCGATGTCACTGCAACACATCGCGAGAGGTGTGATCAGGGAAAAGGAAGAAAGTCAGGAGAAGGAAATTAAAATGATTGAAAGGCAGAAAAAATCTACCTGCAGATGATTTTTTCTGTTCGAAGCAAGCGATTGGTGATGCCCCTTCGCAGCTTCCTGTTAATCTGGAGGGAAACCCAGACTGGTGTGTCGGCCCGGGCCAGACTGAGAGGTGTGTCTCCCTCCCTGTTAACGATGTCAATTTCAGCGCCTCTGGACAGGAACAACCTGTGGCCCAAAAACAGGCGCTGATCATGTCCACCAAAGTTTGGAGTACAACAAACAAACAGCTTTAGCATGAGAGCAGTTCACAGAGAGTGGAAGAGATGGCCGACTCACGTCACGCAGTCCAAGTAACCTTCTCTGGCAGCGATGTGCAGCGGCGTGTCTCCGTGGACATTAACCGAAGAGAGCGAGCAGCCGGCGTTCAGCACCATCTCCGCTATGTCAACGCTGCCGGCATACGCGGCCCAGTGGAGACACACGTTCAGCTCCTGAGGAGAAAAAAGGAGTTAATTAACGCAACAACATGGAATATTTAACCACGTAAAATTGGGATCTATAGCACACCCACAACAGAAATCTGAATAGTAAAGATCGTGAAAATGATCGTTAACCAGTTTGAGTTGTTTTTCTAATAGGTTAAACTCTTTTTTTCCCAGGTCATAACCCTGGCCACTTATTGACTAGTGGCTTATCATTTTAAGAATAAATAGTTTCAGGTCCCTCGCATTCAATGTGTTTAGCCTTTATACGTCTCTTTTTTCTGATGCTTTTCAGAATCAGCCTAATTGTAAATATGCTGCACAAATGTGCTTGAAATGTAGGATTTTAATGGTCATTCTGATGACCGTGACAAGCCTTATGTGTTATAGAAGATTAAGAGACAAATTGAACAAGTGATTTGAGTTAAAAACACAGAGCTCAAAGACTGCTTGCATGTCTTATTGCAGGGAAAGCTTAGATCTCTTATCAGCTACTGACTAATTGTCCAAACTTGCCTTATCATTGATGGAGACATCCGCCCCTCTGTTCAGCAGCGATTTAATCACCTCAACGTGTTTGTGCTCTGCAGCCCAGATAATCGGTGTCCACCCACCACTATCCTAAAATGTCCACAGAGAAAGAAAGAGAATTTAATAAATGTGTGTTGGCTGCATTTAACTTGATTTCACACGAATAAAAGGAAAAATTACTCGGCAGTTCTTCAACTTTTCTCTCACCTGCGCGTTCACGTCGACCTGCCCCGTCTCCAGAAGCATATTAACAATTTCCAGGTTTCCCAGCTTGGCAGCATGATGGAGTCCTGTATATCCATCCTCCTCCTGGTGATGAACAAGATTTAATAAAAAATGAGAAAAAGAATGGAAATAAAAACTCAAAGTAAAAAAAGGTTTCTAAAAAAACTCCCCCACAGGCACTTACAACATGATACACGCAGGCACCGTTCTGGATCAGGTACCGAGCCACCTCTATGTGATTATTGATGATGGCCTCCAACAATGGAGTCCTCAGGTCCTTGTCCTTAGCGTCCACCTGCGCACCAGCCTGTCGGGGTACCAGTAACATTTACGAATCCACATTAAGTAGCTTGGGTCATCTAAACATATGACTGAGGTGCTGTTAAATGCCTCACCTGCACCAGCATGTAGCAAACCTCCAACAGACCTCTTTGAGCTGCAGCGTGAAGAGCAGAGCGTCGGTTCTGAGAGTCGGGCTGGTACGTTGGATCTATTCCCTCCACTGAATCATACAAATACAAAGAGTCTTAATGAGAGTAATGTTGGATATTTTTGTATAATATAGCCTATTTCTGAATGTAAACAGTCTAGTTAATGTGTCCAGTGTCCACACCAGAGAGGGTTATTTTCTCTCACTGAGGAAAATGAACAGTGTGTTTTTTTTATTTAGATTTTCATTCTTAACTTACAACCCTGAAAAAGTTGAGACACCAAGCTAAAACGCTGTCCAGAGCTTTTGTTTCCACTCACTCAGCATAAGCAGCACTCTCTGCACCTCTCCTTGTTTGGCCGCGGGGTAAAGCTGTCGTGGGTGGAACCTCAGTTTCTTCTTCCTGGTGAATCAGAACCAGTAAATACTGCTATGGTCAGAGATCCCTTTCCCCAAAGAGCAACAAAACACTTCTACTGGAAGATGTGTAGCGTCCATTTCGTGCAACATATCATTTTGTGTCATTCAGATTCTGTTTGCAGCTCACTTGTTTAACAGTTTTCTAGAGATGGTGGAGATGCTCTGATTGGAGATTTTAGCCATTTCTTTGCCAGGTCTCAGCTGCCGTAGATCAGATAAATCTTTAAATATTGCTAGTTTCTGAGCATTCAGGTCCAAAATGTATCAAAAAAGTGTTCTGCATACATTTGGAAGAGACAAGTACGACTTTAAAAGGTGTCCTTTAAGTTGAGAGTTGTACTAAAATCTTTTGGGAAAGAATCCGACCTCTCAGTGTCTTGCATGAGAATGGCTTTCTGCAGCGCCGCCCTGCTGGGACCGGGTGGAAGTGCACTCGGGCAGATTGGCTTTCCATTGGGCATACAAAGGGAGGGTCCCACACTGTCCACTCCCTCTTCTGCCGGGGGGGTAGTGGTCTCTGTGGCTGCGGAGGCCACAGGCTGCGGAGGCTGCTGCTCTACTGCCTGCATAACCAAGCCATGACTGCGCATACGAGCACTGAAAGAGGAGAAAGGTTCACATATGCCGGTAGAAATTAAGAAAAAACAAAACAACATTAAATCTTCCAACATAATCTCTGGCCTCACCTGACAGGTCGTTCAGGCATCTTCCCATCCTTCATCCCTCCTGTGGAGGCGGTGAGAGACGGTCCCGTGGGGGCGGACGGGGGCAGAGACGGGGTAGTGGTGGAGGAGGCTGACATGGTGACCACTGTGGTTGCTGAAGCTGTGGCAGAGCTGCTGGAGAGGATGGTGATCTCCTGGGCCTCCGAGGCGTCTTCACCACAGTGGGGGCAGAAAAGCATGCCACCGCCGTTGACTCTGCTGCGCCCGCCGCTCAGCACCGTCACGCAGCCCCGGTGGAAACGGTGAGCGATGCGCTGGTCCGGGCAGCATTCGAGGAAAGTGCCCTGAAAGAACGCAGCAGTGCAGAGGATAAAGAAAACAAAGTCACATTCAAATTAAAATATCAAAGAAAATAAATCCTATTAAAGAAGTCTTATAGCAAAAAATAGATACATCCAATGAATCTGAAAAACACTATTTCTAAAGAAAGGTGAAACATTTATTTTAGGAATAATTACAGCAATGCAGAAGTATCCACAGCCAGGACAGCAGTGGTGTTTGACCATGTGTGAGCGATGGACGTCACAGAGCACCATGAGCTGGACCCGACTGGACGGCCGCATGGTCTCCCCTTTAGCGGTCCAGTTGGTGCACGACCGCAGCTGACGGAAAGAGAGAGGTATAAATCCAAAGGCTGTCATGATGACACAATGACACGAGTAACACTGTTTTTATCCTATTCTCTGTTTATTTACAGTACTTTCAGGGCTGGGTGGTAAGGACAGAAAACCATAGTTTCTAGATTCTGTGTCAGCATAGAAAGGTTTTTCTGTAAAAACTGGGCAAAATGTCAAATTCTAATTTAATTCATCCTGTAGCTGCACGACACTTTCACTGGAAATTTTCACATTTTTTCTGATGTGTCTCTACACGTAGTGACATTGGTAAAGTTGGCAACTGGACAAATGCAATGTAAGATTTCATTGATATAAGTTTTTTAGAAAAAAAGCATTGCATGAAAAAATATATTGTTTAGATGAAAAAGTTGGTATGAAAATGTTGGTTGGCTGCATTTACTCTCCATGCATCAGTGTTTTCCAATGTAAATTAAAGTAAATCTGATCCTGCTTTAATCACCTATTCCATTAACTATGAAGATACTATATCCAGTGGGTAATACAAGTGGTATAGCAACTGTAAGTGTCCATAACAAACCTCTCCATTGTTGCTTTCTGTGGCCATACACTGTTTGCTGACTCTGCTGCTGGTGCTGTCGACGCGAGGAGCTTCCATCCTGCAGCTGCACAGAGGAAGCTCCTCCAGACGCTCGGTGTCACCTGCCTCGCTCCCGTCTGCACAGAGAAGGGTACAGATAGATTCACTCACTGAAATAATCTGGATGTACTTTCAAAAGTCTGCTCTGGTGTACATGTTAAGTTTAAAACTCAAACAGACAAGGAAGGTATCTGCTTATCTTAAGCAAACGGGTTTGACTGGATCCTTTTGGGATTTTATGAGCAAACATAAAAAATTCTCAACCATGCACATTTTCCAGGAAATGTTCCCCCATTCATGTCTGAAAACAGTTTAGGAGTCACCGGCAGATCAGATCAGAGATTAAGTGACATTCTTATCTGGTGTGAAATATAATAACAGATATATAGTAAATTAAAAGAATCAGAATTCTTATTTGGATCTACATAAAATAATGCTGCATTGTTTCTAGCTGTAAATACAAACGTAGAATTATGGTTCAAATGGACAATTTAATGTAAAAAGAAAAAGATAAACAGTGAGTCTAAAAAATATTTACACATAAAAGGCTGAATGTGAACTTTCGTCTTTAGAAAAAAAGGCAATGGAAAAACATTTTTAAAAAAACATCTACACCAGGCTCTCAAGGCAGCTGATGTTGTTTTGAATGCTCATTTTCGTTAAACAAATAAGATACACAGATCACAGCAAGCCCATCTATGTAAAACTTACCGGGAGGAGGAGAAAGAGTCAGACTGTCGGCAGCTGCAATGTCCAGCGCGCCCAAAGGAACCTCTGTGTACTCTCCAGGCCTTTCTGTTAAGGACAAACCAAAACTCAAACACTGATGCGTGTGAAGAAAACATCCCGAGACGCAACTCAAGCCACAATATAAATACGATAAGCGCACTTTTCTTCCACTGTTTTTTTTACAGTTTGTTAACAGTGAGTTTACCATGATGACTATCGAAATTTTCCAGGTATGCATAAGCATCGGCTCTGGTTACAAAGCGGAGTGAGCAACTACTTTTGAAGTATGTCCATAAACTCTCAGCTTGGTACTCCTCCAGTGTTCCCACAGAACTTGTGTCATCAGACTCCCGTGCGAAGGTTGTTTTTTTTTACCACACACATCGACAGGCTTAGATCATTTTTGGTTACATCAAGAGAGAGTATCTTTTTCTTTTCCTGACTAGTTTAAATAATCTCTCGCTGGATACCATTCAGGTCTTCCTTTGCCTAAAGATGTGGCTTTTATGGCAGAATGCTGATTGTAATCTACAGACAAAAGGCTGCTGGAAACAAAGAACACCTTCCTCCTAACATGGTTGCTAATTCTGGTGGATCTTTGTAAAGGAGAAACTTGCAGCTGTAGATATTATACCCCACCTTCCTCTGTCTCCACCAAATCAGAGATGTTTCTCTCTTTGTCCTGATCTGACGGCAGCCATGAAGACTCCTCGCTTTCATTTCTACTCTGGATTACTTTCTGTGTTTCAGACTCCAAACTCTGCAAAGACAAAATGCTGAATGTTTTTCCGATTTCAACACTATAACAAATGTATAGATAATATATATAGAAATTTTACTTCATAAACGTCAGCTTCTGGCTTTTATTCCAGACAAACAGTTGAATGGTTGTTCAAAGTGGTTTTTGCTGAGCTTTTAACCATTAGCACCTCCGATTTTCTGCACATGCAGTTTCTTTGACTCTTTCTGGCGTAGCTGAGGGCTACGTGTGATGTGAAAACATCAAAGTGCATACTTCTTTCCAATTTCAGACTGGTTTTTAAAAAAAAGATGTTTCCACCTTGTGAAATCATGCACAAAAAAAAGACTCTAAATGACTCTGTAGCTGCAACAGTGTCCGAGGACTGGCAACACAAAAACAGGAAGCCACAGCAGCTTTAATGATGTGAGAAAGTAATAAAACGAGCCTTGAAAACGGAATCACTCACTGGATCCTCTGTGTCCTTCGCTTGTTGCCTTGTTTCTCCCCCATTTTCCATCTATAAGAACAAGGAGAAAAAAATACAAATTACTTTACTCTCTATCTACACAGGAAAACATGTGCTATCACAATAAATAATGTGTGATCACTTTTAAAGAACTGCTAATAAACCAGAAGCACCTTCTTCAGCTTTTCCGAATCTCGAGAGGACGGGTTGGAAATCTGATTCTTTCTGCTCCCTTCCTCCTCCGACTTCCCCACTCCGCTTTTGTTCTTCACTGAAGCCGTATCTGTGACAGACTCCACTTTTTTATGGAATAACTCGTCCCTCTGGATTTCGAATGAAAGAATGTGGCGACTCAGGACGGGACACCACTGGGACCTCAACGAATGACAAATATACAGCTGGAAAAGGGCTGTCATCTTACCCCACTATGAGCATGGTCTGGAAGGCTTTCAGCCATCTCAGGTGTGCCGTCTGATGAATGACCCAGTTTCCTCTTTTTTGCAACTATTTGAAACACAATGCATCAAGTGCAAACATTGGTGTTTGTCTTAAATGAATAAAAGTCCCTCAATTTCAACATTAGCTGGAGGTTCCTTTTGCTACTAACCAGTTTCAGGGTTTGAGGAAGATCCAGAGGGACTGCCAGTGGCAGATGGAGCCTCAGCCTGACTCATCTGTTGAAAAGAAACACAAAGCCATGATCTAACAGGCGGTGATTAAACCCAGAAATAGAAAGATCCCAATTAAAACCAACTCCTGTTCACCTGCCCTGAGGAAGGCCTATTCATGGTCTTTCGGGCCCGGTGGATCTTGGGTGGGCCCGGTGAGATGGAGGGAGAGGAGCAAGATGTGGCAGTGGACGAAGAGGAGGACGAAGGAACAGGTGGGTTGGTGGATTTGCTGTTAACAGGGCCTGAAACGCTCATTTTTGCCCGGCCTGGCGACAGAGGTGAAGACGTAGAGGGAGAGCAGGACAGCGATGAAGAAGCAGCTGATGACAGGGACTTGGCGGCATGTCCTGCAAAAATGGGAGCAAAAGGTATCTTACTGAAAAATTAATAATCTCTATCACATTTAATCAAAGTGACAGCGCTAATATAACATTAAATCAGCGTGATTAAATAAGCCTGACCTGCAGCAGGTTTGCTCACTGGGGAGCAGGCAGGGGAGCACTTGTCTCCCTCCGCCGCCGCTGCCTCCTTCTCGGCCTGCTGGGTGGACAGCATGGATGGCAGACCCCCCATGGGTTCCGTTTTGTTGGCACCAACAAATGAGTCCGAAGCTGCACTGCCTACGATACATTCAAAGTGTGTACGCATTTAAAAAAAGCTAAAATAAGGGAGGGTTAGTGTGTAGAAGTGTGGAGTTCACAGCGTGGCGGGAAACGATTAAGACCGTTTTAAACAGCAAACACCTGGGCACGAAAAACCTATTTGGATTTTACAAACTTACTGGATAAAGAGACTAAATGTAATTTATATGGGATTTCACATCTTTGAAAAATGTGCATGAGCACAAAATACTGATATCATACGAAGATAGTTTCTTTGGAGAAGCCGGGCTGAGCTGATTTGGTCTTTTTTCCACAGGGAAAAGTGGTCTATTTCTCAGATGTGATATCTACTTTGGTTATTTACGTTTCGATATAGGCCAGCCGTGCACCAAACAGTAGAAATTACCCCTTTGTTGAAAAGCAGAAGCTGAACACACAAGTGTTGCTCTGCATGCACATCTTAGTACAAAAAGGAACTGCTTTCTTTGTCCTCGCCCTGTGGAACTTTGCCTCTCAGTTCTGAAAACATCAGCTCATCTGGACAGAGAAACCCTTGAAACAGAAACATGTAGATCCCACTTACCATCCTTTCCTTGACTTGGTCCGGCTAATGATTCTGTTGGTGTTTCTGTGGCATCTTTGTGCTCCTGGCAGAGAAAATACACAAAGTGGAAAATAATCAAACAGATTGTCCAGGTACCAACTGCAGGTCCGGTTTACCATTCAAGCAGCCATTTCTCGGCTTTTTCCCTTCTGGTAGGTTAGCAATATCCTAAATGCCATATTTCCATTACTATCACTCAAGTGTCAGCTGCAAAGCCAAAAAGACAAAAAAAGGTTTCTCCCCCATAATTTAATGTGTGCTATTTGTTGGATTAATAGCAAACAGATCTTCCCCAGAACATGAAGCCCGTTACAATATAAATGTCTCAACATTTCAAACAGACTTACCGTACTTTTAGAACTGGACTCAGATCTGTTTCACCTTTGTATCAACAACTTATTCATGTTGGCACAGTCTAGTTGAATAATGTGTAACTCCTGATAATGTCAGTCAAGAAAGTTAAATCTTTTTTCTGCCTGTGTGAATCAATTTTAGGGAAGGAAAAAAGAGCCCAGATAATACTGGACAGAGATCACAGGGAGAACATTTTATATGAGGACTCTGCATCATTAATGATGCAGAGTCCTCATATAAAATGTATTATCTGGGCTCTTTTTTCCTTCCCTAAAATTGATTCACACAGGCAGAAAAAAGACTTCAGTATCATTAAAGAGTTCTGGTTGAATTTAGGAGTTATTCTGTTATTTGTACCTCTCTCTGCTCTGCCAAAATGGTGCGCCGTTGTTCCCTCTCCTTATGGTGCACAGCTGTGTCTTTGCTAGTGGACTGTGTTGGATTGCCACTTGACCCAATGGTGGAAAAGTCAAACACAGAAGGAGTAGCCTCGGACTTCAACCTGTTGGTCCTGCGAGTCACCAATGCGTCTGACTCAAAGACCTTCTCCTCCAAATAATCCTCCTCTATAAAGTGGTCACTACACACCCTGGCAGTACGGCTTACTTTAGAACTGTCTTGTTTCAGAGCAGTTAGCCAACGTTGTAGAACCACCTGCCGCCTCAAGGGCAAAGAATGAAAGTGGATATTCTTCCCCTCACTCTTAACTTTGTAATAAATATTACTGCAACCTGGAGCAATGCAAAAGTGTCCCCCTTTCTGGTGTCTCTTGTTGCTCTCCATTGCAGTTATCAGCATCCCAAGTTAGAAAACCAGTTGATGTAGGACTCCTCGGCCAAGCAACCAGATAAAGACTGCACAGGGATATAATGAACAATTTTTTGGGGTTTAAACCTATTATTTAAACCAAGTGGTACTGCCAGTTTAAAAGATCCAATGATTTGTTAGGGTAGGAAAAAAGTTTGTCAAACACACTCAGTTTATGAACAATCCTAACTAATGGTGTTTTAAAAACTATGTATCAAGGGTCTTATCTTCCTTAAACCACAGCAGACTTGCAACTCAATGACATCCAGCCAGTTATTTTTAAAAATCAAGTTTGAGGTAAGCCATTAAAAAGTTGTCTCACCTACCAAGCAAACCCTATTTTTCCCACGCTTCAACAAATAAGCATCGCAAAAAAAACTTCCTAAGATGTAATGAACTGTTTATAGGCACATTTTGAGGGGTGGAAGTGAGAACAGCATACAGCCCCGTCAACTAAAATTAGTTCTACATTCCACACTATTGTTGTGCACCAAACCACCACGATTCCATGCGTTGGGCATCAAATTGCGCTTTTGTCTCGTTAAATTAAACTTCCCAACCAGTGGTTTTGTTTTTTGCTGTTACCACGTTAGCTTCCACGTTAATCCATCCATTCATGACTTTTATAGACATAGGAGTTACATATTTCTGCAAACAATAGTGCCAACATACGATGTTTTGATGTGCAAAATTTCACACTGACTAATTTCAGTCTTTTCACTGAGACACACTCATTTGTAGCAGTGTATGAAAATAGCAGCTAATCTTGCCTTCTCCCTCTCAAACCAACTCCGAAAAAGGACCTGCAAATGCGATAAATGTAACTTAAGAATTCGTCTCCAGGGACAATTCAAATGGTCAGCCCACACAAAGACGGCGAACATTAGCGATGTAGTAACAATGCTTTTTCCCCCAATATAAAACTGTTCATGCTAACAATGCTAGCACTGCACAACAGATTACAATGAAAGAGTTATCACCAGAAAAAAACAGAAATATGCAATGTGAAGACAGCAGCTTCATTGGCTTGGTTTTGCTTAGTAGGCTAACGCTTCCAAACAAGATATATATAGCGATAAGCAAGCCTTGTTGAGTTGCAATGGGTTTGCTACCTTTGTCGTTGTCTGAGATGCCGACATGTTCCCAGTGAACGTACATACGTCATGTACGTGCTGCGTCACACTCCGTGCCCCGCCCCTCAGTGTTCATTGATTTGAAACCGCTGATCAGAAATCAGCGTGCGTACATGCATCTTACAACATTGTAAGCGATAGGGGTTCCAAGGAAAACCGATTCAAAGTCAGTTTCGGGGCGAATCAGCCGCGGATTGGGATTTTTTTCTTGTCTGTCACAAGATGCACTTCCTCCAAATAAGGCCGAAAAGTAAACAGAGAACGGGGTTGTAGCTATCAGAAGCGGTGAGATGTGCGGACTGCTGGTCAGCGAACGTTTCCATTCTTAACAGTGCCGTTCAAACAATCACAGTGTTGTTTCCTAAGAAAGCCAATAAGACACACAACCAAGAGAGACACGAAGGTGAGTGACGGGCACAGTTTGACGTTAACTGGTGAGTTTTTGTTCCTGTAGCTGGTTTGTTGTAACCACGAAAGTGGGTTTAAGTATCGAGTTGTTAGGAGCTAACGTTAGCTCACAGTCAAAGGTGTTAGCTAGCTGATCCAGAACAAAGGAGTAAAAAATACACGTATTACAATTTATTACAACCCTTTTCTAGCAGTCGCAGTATCGACTAAAGATTGTAGGATTATTACTGGCTAACAAACTCATTTTTGGGGTTTTTCTTTTTTTTTCACGCCCATACATGGTAGCTAGCCTGACTTTTCTAAATTTTTCTTATTGAAGCTACCAGCCTATGGTTTTGCTTCAATGATACAAAAAATGTTATATACTACGATTTTCTAATTTACGTTGCAGATGAGGAAATCTTATGAGATCAAGTTTTACTTTTCAATCTAAGCTTCAGTACTATAACCAGTTCTACCAGTTTGGCCATAGATCAGTATCGCCGTTGCTATTGAAAAGGTCACTTAAGTTAAATGTTAAGTCATAGTCACTGTTGTTCTATTGTTGTCAATTTTGAAAAAAAGTTGAAGGCGTTTTCTTTCAGTTAATACTACTGCAGAGATGGTAGCAAAACAGTGAAATGGGTCTGTGGCAGATGGAAAAACCTCCTCAGGGCTGAGCAATAACGTAGATTAAATCCTTTTCTACGCAGATCTTTGCCAAATACTGGATTACATCAATGAGTTTAGAGTGATTATTGTCAATTAACAATCCAAATTTCTTCTAAAATCTAACTCCTGTTAAAGATTCATTCTCAAATTTGCTAACGTTCAAATATTGGGGATATTTTGTCCAAGTGCAACCACATGAAGTTGCTTTCATGGTTTCTCCACAGGCAGCATGGACACGGTGTGTTTCCGGTTACCGGGACACGGGGACAAAACCCTGAAGCACATGAACTCGCTCAGGTCCCGCCAGCATTTTTGTGACATCACAATCATGGTGAGCAAAAACCAAATATTCAAGGGTCACAAGGTGGTGCTTGCAGCCTGCTCGCCCTTCCTGAGAGACCAGTTCCTCCTCAATCCTTCACCTCGGCTGCAGGTAGGTGGACGCAAACACACACACCCTCAGAAGGCCCCTGAAGCTCTCCATAACTTTTTGTCCCACTTTTCTTCATCTAGGTGTCAATGCTGTACGGCTCCTCGGTGGTGTTTGACCTGCTCCAGTCGTGCTACACCGGCGTCCTGCAGTTCAACCCAGAGGAGATTGTGAACTACCTGACGGCTGCCAGCTACCTCCAGATGGAGCACATCGTGGCGCGCTGCAGGGGAGCCCTGGAGAAATACGTGCAGCTGAAGAACACCGGCCCGCCGAAGGTCAGCTGCTCGTCCTCTCTGTGGCTCCTGCGTGTCAGGGGGTGGCACCTAGCACACCGCTTCCCCGCTCACCCAACTCTTCCACCAGGCGCATGCAGACGAGAGCCAGGCCCGGCCGGTGATTGTCAGCGGCAGCATCCACTCGGTGGCGTCGCCCTCCCCCACTCGGCCCTCCCCCGTCCCCCCTCACAGCCCTGCCGTGCTCTCGGTGGAGGAAGATAATGACGACGCATCGGCTCGGGGGAGCACTCAGCACCATGATGACGGACCCATGCTGGACGAGCCGTGTATTAAGGTGCCCTTTTTGTTAATCTGTAACTACTTTTTCTCGATCGGTCCAACACTCTTTATTTATACAAAACTCAAAATCAGCCGTCACTGCTGAGTAAGCAGCGAACCTGGACACTGGGCGGGCGTTTATTAAGTGTGAGGAGCTAAAACCCGAATCTCGGAGCCTCTTTTGGACGTAGATCTGTGCGCTTCTGTAGTTTTGTCCTTGTTTAGTTCGTGTTATTTTGTTCCAGGTCAACACATCTGATGAAGAAGAATCCAAACGGGAGGAGAGCGACGTGTTCAGAGTCTACATCTCTGAGGAGGATCAGATGAACGTAGAGAGGGGGGGCGAGAGAGGGGCCTGCTCTGACCTCCCTCAGGATGTCTGCTTCCCAGAGACGGAGGGGATCGTGATTGGAGGGGACGGCAGTGAGTACGACTTCAATCATCCAGAGGACCTCAGTTCTGGCGGACTTGCAGTGGACGCCCTCCGTCCCTTCAGGCGCAGGCTGTCTGACCCAAAAATCGGTCGCGGCAGGGGGAGGGGCCGGGGGAGGGGGTTCAAAAGGAGGCGGTGGGTGTCGTCGCAGGAGAAAAGGCCGTCCGGGGTCGCTCACCACCAGGACTTGTGGTACCTCACCACAGCTGGGCTGGGGGGGAGTTTCGGCCTGGACTACAGCCAAGAGGGGCTGAAGGCAGCGGGAAACTACATCTCCGTCGAGATTCCCAGGTTTGACATGAGCATGGGGGAGGCTCATGGGGGAAAGGTCTCCCCCTCCGCGGCCAGCAGTATAAACCAGCTCTCATTTGAGGAGTCCAGCTGCGGCGAGGGGAGTTCAGGGCTGACCGCCGTCGGAACGAACGAGGGGGGGGATGAGTCGGTGGCCGTGGTGGGCTCCACGTCCAGCGTGACCGGCCCCGTGATCTGCGAGCACTGTGGCATGACCTTCCCCTCCGCCCACTCCCTGGCCGTCCACTCCCGCTCCACCCACCTGCTGTACGCCTGCCCCTGCTGCGGAAAGCACTTCCACCACTCCGCCAACCTCACGCGACACATGGCCGTGCACCGGGGCGGCGGGAAGTCGCACCAGTGCCCGCTCTGCTACAAGACCTTCACCCAGAAGTCCACGCTGATAGACCACATGAACCTCCACAGCGGCGAGCGGCCGCACCGCTGCGCCTACTGCCACGCCCGCTTCGCCCACAAGCCCGCCCTGCGCCGCCACCTGAAAGAGCAGCACGGGAAGACCACCGGCCAGAACTCTCTGCACGAGCAGGAGGAGAGGGAGAGGGCCAGCGGGGCGGTGGCAAGGGTACGGGAGGAGGACCAGGAGTGTCTGGTTACCGAACAGGTGTCGTAGCGTCAGAAAAGCGGCTGTCCAAAGCGCCAGGCGCCCCCAGGGCGTCGGTTCCTAATGTTTTTTATTAAAAAGTGCTAGAAATGACTGGGATGCCTTTTTATTGTTCTGACTGCCAAGATGAAAAAGTTCCTTTCATGCGTTTCAAAGTTTTCTCAAACGGTCAAGCACCTGCATTAGCCACTAAACTGTGACAGCGCGGAGAATAATCCAGAAGCCAAAGCTGATCGATTCAATACGTTTGCCTTTTTTTAAAAATCATTTGTGTGTGCGAAACTCAAATGTTTTACAGAAATATTAATACTTTTAATTGGACGTTTTGTAATGTGTTCAGGATGATGACTGAAGCCAAAAGCAGAGAAAATATCCTGTGAAATACTGTAAATAAAAGTATTGGAAGGAATGCTGCTTTGTTTGTGTTTGTGTCGGAATTGTTTGTTTGAAAGAGGGTTCAGGACGCAAACTGTGGGCGTGATAACCCAGAAGGGGGTTGTGCTACCCCCACTGGTAGAGGAATGGGTCTTAGAGCTTAACAACAAATAACCAAAAGAGAAAAGCTATAATTGTAACTGTAACGACAATACAGAGTAGATACATATCAATATGCACCAAACATGTTTTATATTTCCAGCAGCACAATAATGCAGAGATCTGAGATCTCTCTGTGAGATTTAAACTTTGTTAAATGTAATTCATCCAACACTTCTACTTTTAATTATGAATTTAAGACCCTGTTACCCGAGTAATTTTGTCCAGAAAACCACAAAATCCAGATGTGTGTCTTCCAGTAACAGCTGCAAATGGCTGATTTGATCAGAAAGCTGTCCTTTGGATAATATTTTATCAACTTGGATTATTATTTGAAGTTTTAAATGTGCATCAGATATTTTTGTTTTGAATTTGAATTACAAAAAAATTAACTCAGGGTACCAAAGCATGAATGTGATTTATTGAGCTCTGTAGGAGCCATTTGTTTATTTTAGTTATTTGACCACATACTTTCTT